TTTCCCTTTTTCGTTTCACAGAAAATTTTAAAATTTGTAACCAACCAATCACAAACATCTTCTGGACGTATTCTCGTTTTAATTTGACAGAACGAGCATGATAGCGTCCGTTTCCAGTCAGGCAGGGAAGACTTGGACTTCTCCGACCCAGTTTTTGGCGACAATAGAAATGCGCTAACGTCAGGACCATCGAGAGAGGAATGGGCTGAGAAGTTAAGGAAAGAACCTGATGGATCGGTACGGAACAATTTGGATCCCACTTCTGCTGTCAAACGTAACGATATCCAGGTTAGATTTTGATGAATTTATGATTAATGAAACTGTCTGAAACACATGGCGTAATAATCTGTCATTCGATTATTTCTAAGTAGTCTTCGAGTATTTTGTCTTCAAGTGATGCAATTGATAGTGTTTAGAACCATTTTCAATTGAGTGTGGAAAGTGATCCGGGATCGCATCGATTTTGCGTTACTTCGCTCTGTGATTGGTCAGGAAAACTCGTGCTACCGTCTCAACCAATCAGCTGCAAAACGAGAACCAATCACGACTTGGTCATTAGCGTTTTCCCGCTCCTCAGGTTGTAGCTTGTTTATTTGTTTGTTTTTTTTCGAGTTGTCAGAGTCCTTTTTTTTTGGAATACTTTCCTTCGCCTTAATCGGCCGTACGTTTTGTTGTTCTCACTTAAAAATAAGCTTCTGAACTAAATCATACCAAGTTGAGTTGAATTAAGGATGAGAGCTGTGCGTTTGAAATCCATGAGTTGTCGGTGAAAAGTTATAGCTAGGCGAGTACCTGACACGTTTTTCATTCATTTCAGACCAATAAAGTCCTACTGGAATTTTTATGTGTTTAATCTTGCCTTGCTTTTCTTCAGGTGACAAACAATCCTCTGTACAGTAGTCCTGGCAATGCTGCCGGAGCCGAGGCATCCAATCCAATTTACACCAAGGTGGTTGATACACCCATAGAGGATGAGATAGCGGCGGCCAAAAAGAAGAATAAAGAAGACCACACTTACGCGGAACCTAAGGATGTTACCCTCGGGGGAGCTTCAAAACACCAGTATGAAAAGCCCCCTTCGAGGCGGGTATCTCACACCAAGAACACCTACGCGGATCCTAAAGATGTAACCCCTAAGGGTTCAGTGAACCCCCGCTATGAGATGTCCCCTCCGCCGCGAGTGTCGCACACTAACAACACCTACATGGAACTTCAAGATATTTCCCCTATGGGGGCGTCGAATCCGTGTTATGCTAAGTCCCCACCGGTTCGAAAATCTTTTGTGAACGACATAGATAATCACCAAGAAGGCGATGGCGCGCTTGGAAAAGGTGCAAACGCTTACTTGAAAGGTGCAAGGTCTAAAGTGCGAGCATCGAACGCATCTCAGACAAAGAAGCTTAGACGTCAAAGAACTGACGAGAAAGAAGCAACTGATGAAGAAAGTGCCGTGCTTAAAAAGAACGAGGTACCACCGTCTTTTGAAAACCCGTTTTATAGTGATAATCCGATAAGGGATCAAGACAATTTCAACGAGGATCCAACATACGCGACTATTCCTGCATTGCAAGACAGCCGTCCGTGTTTGCCGCCAAGAACTCAACAAAGATCCTACGATACTCCAGCGGAGGAGATAGTGGTTCAAGAGGACGACGTGTATGAGAAAGTAAACTTTGGAGACACGGAGGCGTAAGCAAAGTTTTTAAGCAAATAGTTTCTATTTTTTATTCTGATAGTTCAGTCGAGTTACTGCATTTTTATGTATCACTGAAAGTGAGTTGTACAGGGACTACGTAAAACCAGGTAAAAGCGGTGTTTTATCCCTATTGGAATATGATTCTCTTCAACAACTTCGTTTCTAGGGTCTCTACTATCGCACTTGTCGCTTTTGGGGCGGAACGAACAGAGAGTCTGGGAATGAAGTTGAATTAGTCATTGTTCCTTTGTGATAACTTAAATAAATTGATATTTGAATTAATCTCTCAGAAAAAGCACGCAAATCTTGGATCTAGCCGAGATTTAAGGTCAAATTACGGTAAATCTTTTAGACTTTGTAATATTCATGATGCTATGCACTGCTGTACAGTTTTGCATGCGTTAGTGAGCAAGCATTATCAGCTCGTTCGTCAACTTCGCATGGTATTTAATTTCGTACATTGCATGCGTGGGAAGTACAACACTTTTTAGTGTTCTTAAAACTTATCACTATTTCTTTGAGACCTTTTTTTACGTTTTGGTAAAAAACTGTACGATACGCGCCTGCGCTTAAAACCGGGCTGTAACTTCACAGAACTTTGCATGCGAGTATTTTTACAGATCCAGAGGTGTTTCATTCCTTTTTTTAAACAACCTCTCTACAAGTGTGTAAAAGCTTGCGCAACTACTTACTTTGCAGAAGTATTGGTACAGAGTTAGGGTTTTTTAAGCTCTACCAGTAATAATAGCGAAGTATACATTTTTTATTTGTGTTAGTTGTAAGTGTAGTGTTTTAGTAAATTGATATGAAGTGCTTTAACCATGTAAATATGCTGGTATTAGATTTTATAGTAAAATATTTGTAACTGTATGGCAGAGCCATACGAGTTTTTTTATTTCTTACTTGTCGGTCAATATTTCACTGGCTGGCAAATCTAGTCGAGGAGAACGTTTCTGACGTCAGTAAGAGTAGATGAACTTACCGCGATAGATATAATGAGTGGAAGTGTCAACGGCCATCATCATAGTTTTGAAATAGCTCAGAATTTAATGTACAAATAAGTTTATTGTAAATTTGATAATTCATAAAGCATGGACTAGGTTTTTAAAAATTATTTAGGGCTACCTGTTGGCGTAATAGTACTCATAAAAATTATCAGTTGTTAAGCCGACAGTAACTTATCAGTCAACCAGAAAGTGTCCACAATCATTTTCCATAATGAATAATAAATATGGCATAATGACGTGACTCGGAAGGTTTTTCTTCGTATCATGTCACGCAACATAACCTGTTACACATTTAGTGCTTCAGCCTACTTGATTAACTAAAAATGTCTTGAGCCGCTTGGAAAAGGAAGATGAATCCTACCTCACTTTTGAGTGTTTGTTTGATTCTTGAAGGTAGGCCATAGCGAGGAATTTAACAGAGCTATGTAAAGTGAGATGTACACCACAAGGGAGGTTTATTTTTAGCGATGAACTTGTTGTCAAGACGAGTAATGTATTCAAATTCACATTTTCAATCTTTTCAATTTACAAGGCAAAATGAAATAAATGTTTTAATTGCTCATTTCTAATTGTTGTCTGATGCTTACGACTTTGATAAAGAGGAAAAAATCGAGACATATTTATCCACGAGTGATTCAATCCAACGAAGGAATGATATTCTCCCGGCCATCAATAAGCACAGACCAGTAGAGTCAGGTTAAATATGCTCGAAAATTTTAACATTATGCTTATGAGCGTCACCTCTTAAAACGGCATTATACCGAAAATTATGCTGTAAATTTTTCATAAACCTCAATTTACAACTTCAAAATAAAAGCTCTCTCCCCAATCTCCCCCGCCCCTTACTTATTCCTACCACCAAAAGGTAAACATTACTAAGAAAAACAATTTACTAAATCAAAATTTCTAGTTGGCAAACGATAAAAGCAGGCTAATTGTTGACATTACTCAGGCTACAGAATTTATCTCGTGTTGAACTGTAACATCAAGTGGATTTTTAAAAAAAGTTCAGTCATGCCGACATTGTGCCCGCAGCTCTGACCGTAAAATAATGCCCAAAACTATGCCTGCACTGAATTCATCTGAACCCGCCGACCAGAATTAGAGACGTGAATCAAATCAGTGATTAAAAGGTACAAAGCTTCTAGACTCTCGCGCTGAGGTATGGGAACAAGCTCATTTATTACCAAAGGCGATAGCAGGGTTAACTCTTGCTGCGTTTTTGTCTCCATGTTACATTTTGGTATTTCAATGCTTTTTGGCACGTGTGGGAGTGTGTAACTGGGCGAGAGATTAGAGAGGAGGAGAGACAAAAACCCCTAACATGATCCAGCTAAAAATACTCGCTTAAAGATAAGATCTTTCGTTTTACGCTGCCAAATCCGGCTCCAACGAGAGCTGAAGTAATCAGGAATCCTCTGGCAAGCTTGTCCTGATCCAGGTGACCAGTAATCATAAGAAATCTTTGCGTAAATCCACGTTGTCATGACCCGAATTTGGATAGGTGCTATAAATGTTCATTAGTTGCGTCACGCTTCTGACCATCATGAAGAACACGCAGCCTGAGGCTTTCACGTCCGTTATTTGCAATCTTTCATTGATATTCCTGGTCCTTCAGCAGTCCTTATTTCCTTTGGTTTATGCGATTATTTTAAGTCCTCCGTATTATCAACGTCAAGTTTTGAACGAACATTGCATAGCTCCCTCGACGTTCACGGCACTGAGAAGCTGACGAGGACCGGAACGTAGTTTACCGATTTTGTAACCCTGTCGTTAATGTGCTTATTTTTACACCTCTGGATTTCTCGTTGTTAAATATTTAGCCTGATTTCTATATGATACCGTAGATCATCCAGATTGTCTCAGTTTTCGTTACGATTGCGACAACCCAAACAAAAACAACAATATTTTCCATTTAGCTATAAAATGCAAAACCAATCCTTGAATTAAAAAATAAAAGGTGGGTGCATATATTTCATAATAAGGATGACATGGGCTGTCGCCTGAGGGAATATAAATTTCGCAATCTCAAGTTTTTCTCCTTATTTAGTAGAGAGACCAGCTTCTTCAAATTTGCGAAATTATGGAATATAGGTTTACGTCTGAAGGGTAACTTCTACTCGATAATCAGGTTATTTTTTTATTTCGTAACAAGTTTACTTTGGATTTCAAATCATGAAATTTAGTAATTAATTACGATTTGTTTGTACCATGACGTCAAATGCTAACTACTTTACTTAGCGTTTCCTGTAAAATCGCGATAAAACACTTTACAATCCCAGTAGGCCTTGCGTGCATAGTTTCTTTAGACGTACCTGCAAACGGCAGCTATATATGACGTAGAAAACCCCTGTCAACTTCATTTTACATTGAAAACTTGGTAAATTAGCTCATACTGCGTATGACTTAACACTTCGTCATTACCCAAAGTGATTTTCTTTTCTTCATAATGAAGCCGCACGTTGAAAGCGTCGAGATATCGAGTCCAATGGACATCACTGACGGCGAGTACGGCGAAGAGCAACAAACATGGAGTATTTCTGTAACTAATCTACCAAACGATGTTTTTGAGGATCAAGAAACAAAGGTATGTTAAAAGAGAGATATCGTAAGCTCTGTGTTTAGCTGTGGATTATTAGAGCTCGCTATCTTAGCGTTTTGTTTTAAAACTGGTCCATTTCGTCGAAATACAATGTTCTTGGGACCAAAACAACTGTGGTATTCAAGAGAATAGTTGTCATCAAGCTCACTTCTCTCTAATTTAGCTGCCTTTTCAGCCCTGTTTGGTTGGGAATCCTAAATCATACACAAAACATATTTAGATCGCAAAAAATGATTGTAAGCTTGGTCGATTTTTTTAGTTGAGGTGGGGAATGTTTTGCATTGTCTATTAATAAGCTTATGAAAACTAAAAAGATTTCGTTTGTTAATGAACCGATTCGGGTTTCGATTGTTAAAGAGAATTACGTAAAATCCATCGTTCGAGTTCACCAGAGTTCAAAAATTTTGGAGAGTTAAGAAAAAATTGAGACTAATATTAATGATGATGAACGGACATGAGATAATTAGTGACTGTCACTTTCAAGAAAACAAATTTGATCAGAAAATTCTTCATGTTAAGTTCTGTTCCAGCAAGTCATGCTTTGCATGAGGAAAAGGGACAGGTTGGTTACTTACAAGCATAGAAATTAGGGGGGACAGAGCAGGGTGTACATCATGCCTCTCTAACTCTGAGCAACAAATGAACAATCTAACATGAGATTAGAGGAATTTTTTTTGGAGTTGTGACCTTGGGAAAGACCCCAAATCCTCATCATAACAGGGGTTTCCAGAACTGTCATTAAGAGTCATTATGTAGATGACTAAAACCCTCTGTGAGTCTGTCTTCTTCAACCACCTACTTTCATCTCCTTGTACCATAATTTCTGATCACAAATGGTACAAGTATTGAAATACAATCAAATAAATTTGTGTAGCAGCCATTTCCCAGTTTTAAGGGGAATTAGATGTGTGAATGGATTCCACTTTTAGAATTTGCATTAAGGTTGGTACAAACTTTTTGGAATGCTTGGGACATTTTAAGCAAATAGTTCTCAGTCTTGGCTTAGTAATCTAATAATGAAATGACTTGAGGTCCAGGTTATCCTGGCTTCCTAATATTTCTTATTTGCACCCCAGTTACTGGCAGAAAACAGCTGCTTTCAAGGCCTTTTACTTATTAGATCTATGTCATTCAAACCATTTTTCAAGGCTTAATGCGCAATGCCTTTAGAAAGTCGGCTTTGTCAATGTAGACTTGTAAAATCTGAAAAAGAAAAAGAGAATGTTATTAGAGGTAAAAACATGGAGTATTATATGATATACTTTGTGTTTAACCACACCAACAACTTTTCATCAGAGAAAATGAGCAAGTATTTAGAGAACTGTATGCAAATTTCTATGTCTTAATTAAATTTAAGCCCACAGTCATACCATCATTCAAGTCATTAAATTGGTGAATTGTCAGCAAATGTACCTGTGAAAAATTTTTTTCTAAATGTTTGCGGCTCAGATGGCTTGTTCATCTGGTGCCTTCAAGGAAACAGCAAGCCACTGTAATCTTTTTCTCTTTACATTGAAGTTATAGAAACATCCATATACCAGTATTTCTAACTCAAATACAACAACTTCTTATGTTGATTTATGCCTGAGGTTAGCTGAAAGTGGAGTTTGCCCTGTGTAAAACCTGGTATTGTTATGCATTTTTTGCTCAACAGGGTTTCTCTTTAGAAGGCAATGACAAATTCACTTTTCTGTGTGTAAATAGTCTTTCATTACTTTTTCTTGATGTAATTATTACTCTACAGAATTTGACAGGTCCTATTTAGTGCCTATTAGAATTAGCACTTGACATTTCTTCTTTGCAGGAAGTGTTTGAAAAGTTGTTCTCACCTTATGGAAGTGAAAGTGACAGAAGCTTCATCTACTTAAAGACTTTTCATAGAGCAAGGGTTACATTTGCCAATGAAGAGTACGCAAAAGAAGCTAAGAAATACCTGCATGGGCAGTATTTTCTGGGCTATGAACTGGGCATCTTCCTTGTTCAGGTGACTATTTACACATCAAAGAGTGATGGGCATGCAGCCCTTCCTTACCATATTTTATGAACAATTGGAAATAAAATACTGATCCCCACAGATGATCTTTCCAGAAGATATTGCAGATGTGTGACCTCAAAGCTCCTTTGGTAGTAGTGATCAATTGGTATTTGGGAGGCATTGGTTTGAATTCAGGCTTCTTTTACAGCAATGTCATCAACTCATTCATCTTTGAGGATCAGATCTTAATTTTTGTTCATCCACTAGGAAGAATATGGTTCATAGACTGAATCAACCTATGATTTGTTAACACCCTACAGTAGACTCTGAATACGTTTTTACTTCTCCAATTTCCTCCTTGGGATGGAGGGAGATCGATTCACAAGTATAGACCTGTGCTGATTAAATTGCAATAATCACATAAGCATTTTAGATAGAAGATGGTGTGGGAAGGATTAGTGGTATGAATGACTTCTTTCACAAGAGAATTTCATTTTCTATGGCCTTGATAACAAGAAAAGAAAGTATAACAAACTAATCCAGCATTAAAATCATTTTCTAACACACTTTTGTGAAGTTGATTCATCAGATAGTTTTGATCATTTAGATATTGTGTATTATTTTGCAGAGACAGTCCTCCCTTAACAACAACTCTAATCTTAAACCTCCACCTCAAACAAAGCAGTTCCTGATTTCCCCTCCTGCATCACCTCCAGTTGGCTGGGAACAGACTCTCGAGTCTCACCCAGTGATCAACTATGATCTGCTGGCTGCTGTAGCCACTTTAGACACTTCACAACCTTGCCAGCTACACAAGTCTGTTGAAGATGCACCCAGCATTGTGGTACACCTGTGTGATGAAGGAGATGTCCAAGATGGTATGAATGATGAAGGAAGCAAGTTCCACCCATTGAAAGCATTGCCAAGGGAAGTTGTGCAAACAAGAAGACCAGAAAGAAAATTGTAAAGAATATAAAGGAAGGGTTTATATTTTAAAATATATTAAGAGTACTTATACAGCTTCTTATACAGCTTCTTTGTTTTTATCATTGTGATCTAAGTGACCATTCTCTTTCACCTGAAACATGCAAACTAAGGTGTAGTATTAACTTTATTTCAGTTCAGAAAACATACTGACAAGTAATGCCGTATTGGTAGAGATACATCTTTTCATTTGTGAAAAGTTCTGACTTGAGCACAAGGTGAAGGTGATGAACAAGAAAATAAATTAGTTTAAAATTTTATTACCGTATTTATAGAGACTTCAGTCAATCATGTTGATTAGTTGAAAAGAGATAACTTATTTAAAAACAGTAAGCACAAAAAGTCTTGTGGGTCATTTAACTTGCATCTTTTGCAGTTTTTTTGCAACTCCTTAATGGGTTCAGTTTACTTCTTTAAACCTCAAGCCAAAATGAGTAGCTAATTATTGTTATCAAGCAGCTGCTGATAATTATGGTTATGATAGTTATGGTGATGATCCAAGACTGTGAGTGACTTTTTTGATAAGTGGCTGCTAATTGAAAGGCATCAGAAGTATTGCAGTAAGTTAAGTAATTTTTCTTGGATTCCTAGTTGTCTTTCACTGAAGAATAGTCTAGGTTGGATGGTCAAGACGTTTTGCCATATTTTTGCATCTCAGATTTTGAGTGCCTCTGAAAATTTTCTTAAAATAAGCCCGTTATCCTTTCTGATACCTGGTAAAAATGTATACCAATGGTATATAGAATGTGATCTGTTTGTGATCATTACCGGTAATTTATTTGATTAAATTTTTTGCGATCATGCAGCTAAGCATCAAACAATAATAAATGAATCAAACAAATAGATGGACTGTTCCTTGGGAAATTGAGTTGTCAATGAATGCGCAAGGATTGATTTTTAATATTGCTGGGAAGGCTGGCATAATGGTCTGCGCTCTACTAGCTGAAAGACTCTCGGGTTGATCGTGTAAAGGTGTTTCGTGACGACAGAGTTATGCGTGACTTAGGCTAAAGCCGTTGCGTGATGAAGAAGGTGAACGTTACTAGACCTAAGTTGAAGCCATCGAGTGTTAGTCGGGTCCTCCTCTATCCAAGACCGATCGTATAACCAAAATGATAATACATAGCTACCCCAAGCTATCTAGAGTGCCTTACAAGCTTCTGTGCACATCGAATAAGAGGCGGTCAGCACAGCGATGAAAACAACAGCGAGATTTGTTCACTTTGATTGAATGTAGTTAGCTGAATTACGTACGCGCTTTGTGTGGTTCTTACTTGTGATCTATAGGAGGACAGACAATAAGTCATCAGCATATTGACCTTGACGAGGTACACGCATTCTCCCTTGCACAATTGTTAGTTAGGTGCGGCAGTGGTCAAGGAATGGAATGCTTTCGGTTTTTCAGAGCTCCTCGTTGGTCTCGAAAACTCTTCAAACTCGTGTCACCCTCTCAACCAATTGGACGCATGGCTAACACCGGCCATGACCACCGGCATTTTTCTCGAGCATCCCGTTAAAAATACAACAGCAGATTCAGTTTAAATATGAACAAATAATTTATTGAGTTACAGATTTTGATGTATCATCCCTACAGACACCCCACAAATCTACCAAAATAATTTGAACACACCGAAAGAGTTTGCAAACACAAGATCCATGAGAAACGATTTGCCACTGAGGACTTAAGCATGGTGGTACATAAAGAAGAAATTTGGAACGAGAAAGAGAAGCACTAAATAGCGTCTACATCTGCATCTTCTACTTAGAAGGTTTCCATGGCAAACGCAACTTTTGGAAAGACCTTGCGCCTTGCTGACGTTTTGGTTTGGTACTATGCGGAGCAGAAACATAAAGGAAGATTATCTAACAAGCCTTTAAAGCTGATACATGGTCAGGCAAAAAACAAACAGACAAACAAACAAAAAGTAAGAGCGGGCATGTTTTTGTGATGAACATTTCAGTAAGTATACCTCACCAAGTCACAGATATGATAGGAGAAATACAACAGTGAATTCAATCACCATGTATTCAATTTTTCACATTTGGAAATTCAGTATTTTACAACGATTTGGGTAAGTATTCTTTATCTCCACAGCCAACGACTACATAATTGTAAGGCTTAAGAGCTGCTTAAGAATTAAATTGTCTGATCAATCACCATGACTTAACACGCAAAGTTCAAATTACCACGGTTATGATTATGTAGAAATTTCTTCTTTACATGTACCCTTTTCAGACCGCCCATAAATAACTTATTAGGGACAAGAAAAAGAACGCAGGATTTCTCGTGTAATGTGATAGCAGCCCAGGGTGAGAAAGAACATTATTTACCATCGCTCTCTTGCCTGAATACATAGACCCTCTGCATAAAGTAATTAAAGCTACAAGTACTGACTGTAACCTGTCATCTAGGAATAACTCAAGTGCGATTTTTTTCATGCAGATTTAAAAAAACACAAACTAAAGAGTCACACTAAAAAGTAAGTCAAACTTTGAAACATGAAAGTAAAAAATCGAAGTCAACGACAACGACAACATAAATAACGAAGTATTTTTTACAACGATACTCTTTCCTTTTTACAGTAAAATCAGTATAGAAAAATAAAACTCTAGATCTTTAGTATGAACTTGGTGCAATAAATTGCGACATCCATTTAAACTTTTATAAGTTAATTTGAACATCTTCTAACCCCAAAGGAGATACCACTTTGTTCTTTTTCTTCAAACTGTACTTTCTATCTCGAGTGGTAGCACTGCTGATGGACTCGGTTTCTCCGGAACCATCCGAACTATGGGTCGCGTCGCTCTCGAGCGATGTTCTCCGATTTCGAAAACCTTCGGGATTGTGACTGAACGATCGGCGGAAAAGCGACGATTGATCACTGGTGAGACGTAAGAAGGGGCCTGGATCCGATGCATTGAGCTTGTCGTCTGCGTTGTTACGTCGGAAGCTTGGCGATCTTGGCGCAATGGCGTTTGCTAAATTATAACCAGCCTTGATGCTCCGCTTTATTGCCTCTTTGATGCACTTAACCATCTCTCTCTTTTCTTCTGCAGTTCTGCAAAAATGTCACATGAAACCTTTCAACACACACCGTCTCAGGAAAAGTACGGTAACGGGCGCTTGTTTAAAGGTCACCACTCTGAGGATACGTTATGGTTCAAATATTTCTTCCAAATAAAAACAACGACTTTGGTGGGAAAATTTTAAAGGATCAACTGACAAAAGTAATCCGACTTTACAATGGTTTGATCGTACTTAGTGCGGTGTAATTGGTCTAGAAAACTCACACCTGCCTCCCCAACCGTTCTTTACGGTGGCCAAATCACATAACACGCTCCACCGACGCAGCATCACAGCTTCTTTAGAAACTTACCTCCTCCCCCCTTCTTCTCTCCAACTTGGTTCAATCGTAATTTGGATACTCGCGTTTTTGCGCTCATCAGCAACTTTCTTTGTTTTATTTTGAGTTCTTATTGACTCCTAATAGTTCTATTCGTTCTGAATGGCCAGTGTGGTCACTTTTGTTTTGGTTTTATGACAGTCGATCGAAAGGTGTTTTATCAATTGACCTTTTCACATCCAGACAGGAGTGAACAAAAGGAGTTTTCTTTACAATATCAGACCATTGTCTAGCAGAAAGTAACGATAAGAAAAAAAATATATAAAAGAACGGAGTATTGCAAAATCTAACACAAAATCTCAAAGCTAAATTATAAGTAATTTATGGCAGAAAGAAAGGTAAACTATTATTGAGATCTTGTGAATGAAAAGGTTGATATTAATATGTCAAGGAGAAAGTCCTTTCCCTCGCAACAACCAACGGACAGTTCAATAAAATGTACAAATGAAAATGAACCAGTATCAATATTACTTGTTTGCAAACACATATGCACATTCTTGTCTGCCAATCTCTGCTGTATCGCTAATGTTCACCAATTCCCACGAATGTATTGGCTCCGGACCTGAAAGGAAACACAATTTTATGACCAAAACAGGACTGAAAACATGAAACACCGATCAAATGTCAATGACATAAATGAAACTTCCCTTTTCCACTAGGACATACTGTGCTGTATGGCAGCTCGTAACCTCTATAAAAAATCCCCCCTTATTATAATTTTCCAAATAAATCGTGGTCTATTATGTTAAAAGGTATTTACCTTTCCCTAACATCTGTTTTCAGCGTCAATTTGTAATCTTCTTTACTATTAACACCACTCGCTTAACCGGCCTAGCATCAGAATGAAAGCTCTCCATACTGTTCTTTATACATTTCCTACTCTTCTTGAGTTTGCGATTATTTCCTTCATTCTCGTTACCTTAATGTTTGATTCAGGGTAGATACTGTTGGGAGAATAAGGTTCTTATCTCTCTTAGGGGTTTAAGGGGTAACCATAAATCGGAAATTTGACAACTGATTTCGCCTCGCACGTATGAGGGAAAAAAACAACATTTTACCAAGGAAATTAGAAAATCGCTTTGTGGCCTCGGTAAGGACAGCGTAGAATATTACATGTCAAGTTAACATACATCACATACCATCATTTAACCAACAGTGGTCTCGCACAACCAGTGAAGAAGCTGGGATAATAGTTTTAAATTTGATTTCATCCGATGATCTTAAAGAAGTGGGCTGAAAAAGAAAAATAGACACAGCTGTTAATAAAGTATCTGACGAAGGGCTAACGCTCGAAACGTCAGCATTGAAACTCTTGACGGTGGCCAATTTACGTTTTCAACTCAGTTGATAATACTAATTACCTTGTTATACTCTCCCACCGACGCAGCACTACAGTTTCTTAAGAAACTTACCCCCTTTGTTAATAAGGTACATGTGTACTACTAGGGAAATGCGAGACAAGAACAACAAAACCCTGTCTTCGACTCACCCGATCTTTTTCTTTCTTTTTCTGTTTCCGCTCCAAGTAAAGAAGAATCAACACTTTTTCAAATGCTGTTGTGAAGGTAGAACAAAGTACGGAATTTCAGGTCCAGATAGACGTACTAAAAACATATTTCTACGGAACGTGAGGGTTAAAACGATGTAAATATCTTCGGCACAATCAAAGGGGCAGGGGCAGTACAGTAACCAAAGCAAACAATGCTTGTAAAAGACACCATTACAAATAACGGACCTATCTATATCGATGCTATCTTACCGAAAAGATGCATGGTCCCTGGAGTCATCTTTTTTCCAATTCTGGGAGAGACTGGGTACTTTTTAAGCGTTCCACTTTTCAGTAGGTCATCCGGGCAATTGAGCCAACGAACTTTCCCATGATGTGTCAGCCGATCTATGCTGACGTCAGCAAGCTACCACAGAAAAATAATTGAATGAACGATTCGGGAACATAAAGGGGAAGTATGTTTTCATGATTGAGACGGTAAAGCAAAAGATCAGCGTGGAGTATGGAGAATTTCCAAGGAAACAATCCGGACAAATACTATCGAACTTCGAGGGGACATAACAGAGTGTCCTTATTACTGAAATGTTAGTCTGTAAACTTGAAAAAGAAAATAAGTCTCAATTTTGACTGAACATAGAAAACAGTTTGTAATGAAGGGGTGAAAGTATTAGAGAGGTGCACCTGCTCTACCTTTTCACTACGATATTTAAGCCACTAAAAACAATATGTACGGCTATCGTTTGTTTCTTTCTGTTTGCCCTGCTTCGAGTTTGGTGAGCTCGCACACTATCTGGAATTCTCGCGCCTACCTCACCTAGACGTGGATATTTTTTGCCATCAAGATAACTAACTTCTTCCATGGTCATCCATCGCAAGCAAGCGTGTATCTTTTTTACTTTTTTTACGATTAGCCAAAGGTAACCGTGATTTGTAATTTACCTCGAATACTCCAAACTCTTCAATCAGTTGATGAAAAACCGGTGAGAACTGCTCTGTAATCCTCTGCATCTCGTTAATGTGCTCAGCAACTTTTTCAATTGCAGTCACAGCCTCTGAAAATGTGAAATTCTGTTGAAATCCTTATCTGCATCTAACCAGATAAGTAAGCCCCAGCGTATGGGTTGTTGAGGTGAGACATATGATTCCTTACCTAAAAGGCAATTATATTCTTCACTGGAGCTATCCAGGAGCTTTAAGATTGTCCGCAATAGTAGAGGGTACCTTACTACACGCTGCAAATAAGAACACGTTTTATTAGATCAATGGCAAATTTGTGTATGACAAAAACAAAGAAAGATCGTAAATTCTGAACTCGTTCGTCGAACAAACAAAAGATGTTAGGAATTAGTCACGAGCGTTGTACCAAAAAGAAAACAATAATATACCGAAAAAAAAGAAAGAAAGAAAGTAAGTAAGCTTCAACAGTTCATAGCTCCGCTACAAGTATACTTAAGGGCAAATTTCATATTTGGCACACCAAATCTCAGCTTCATCCCAACCCTGTAAGACGTTACGTAGGCAGGTAAGGAATACTGGCTAATTAACATAATTAGCCGCTTAATACGAAGCAGTAAATGGGTAAAAAATAACTTTTTCTTTTCACCTGAATTGGCTTGATAAGGTAAGATTCCAACGTCCCTGAATGCTGATTCTTTGGATTACGGGCATGAAGGAACTCATGCAGCGCCGTGTTTGATCCTGGAAAAAAAAATACAAAATCACAATCTCCACAAGCGACAAATAAATTGAGCATTTTTATAGTTTCCTGGGCCATTCCAGGCGATTTAAAAGAAAAAGTGTCACATGCAGTTTCTATTTCTAAATACTAAAGAAAATAAAAAAGGAGAAGGACGTCGCACAAAAAAATTGGACTCTGGGATCGAGAATGTGAAAGGGAAAAGGGAGTCTCAGCCCAGTAGTTCCATATGACTAATGCCTGGGAAACGAGACGATCGTAGATTGACAGATGGATCTCTAAATCGCTTTGATCTTTGCATTCACAGAACAGATAGTCTCCTTCACAGCCGTTGTTTGGTCTCGCCACGCGTTCTCTCGTCCACCACCAGTGGAAGAGAGAGGGCGTTGCGTGACGAGACCAAAGGAGATTACAGAACAGAATAAGGGAGGTAAGTTTCTAAAGAAACTGTGGTGCTGCGTTAGTGGGAAAGTGTAACAGGGTAATTTAGTATATCAAGTGAGTTGTTGACGTAAATTGGCCACCGTTAAGAGTTTCAAAGCTGACGTTTTGAGCGTTAACCCTTCGTCTTTCGCTCTGATGAAGGGCTAACAGAACAGAATACCCGCTGAAAACGGTGGATCTTATTTTGTAATGCATACCTGACTGAAGTAGTTCAACAACCCTTGAGTGACTGGAACAAAACGCACTGTAAAGCTTGAAATGTTCCGTGTAGTTGAAAAATGTCTCTCCGATCGTGTATATAACGTTCTGAAAGTAAAATAACGCTAAATAAGACACCTTACAGATATGGGAATCTCGCGTAGGGTTCTAATTAATTCTTAACCCTATTAGATATTCACGAAGTTTACGACACAAAAAGGAATCTCCCGTCGAATTTCATTTTTACGCAATTTAGCGAAGAAAATGATTGAGGATTCTATTGCTTCTCCTCTAATACTACAATGAGTATGGTCAAGAGCCACTCTTCCAACCAATCAGATACAAAACAAGAACCACTCGCGTCTTGGTCGCTTACTTTTTTCCTGCGCTCAAGGCACGTGACATGAATTGAGTCCTTAGCGGCTTCTTGTGCTGGCATCATTTTTTTTTTCTAATTGGCCGCGGTAATAACTTCGGTTTTGTTTGTTGAACACTCAATCGAAAAGTGCACTTTCATGTTATGGCCTCATAGTTAAAAAGTAGACTCCTAAGATACCTGAAATTGTTCAACGGCACTGAACTCTTCAAATCCAGTCTCTGTTTCTACTGGCCTTTCAATTTCCTTAAGGAATTTCACTTGAAACTCTAATATATCATGAACAGTTGACACTAACGCTTGAACCTTGATTGGGGCAGAATTAGAATGAAAAAAACGTCAGTGAAATGGTATAACACCATTAAATAATTGACTTAAAGAACGAGAAAGAAAGAGAGAGAGAGAGAACGATTTTCACTAGAAAATTGCAGCATAAGCCTACCTCTGATTGTGACATGAAGTTTTCATCTTTCATGGGGTCAAGATAACGTTTAAGTAAAAGTCTCAGATCCTAAAATTAAGCATTAATATAAATTTATTCATACGTTTTTTGATTTTTAAGGGAAAATGTTGTACATCAATACAAACGAAACTTTGTAGCAGGACATTTAAGGAAAAAGATGCACCAGAAGCCATGTTGTTTTCATCGCCACCATGAGAGTTACTCATGAAATTATTCCACTGACCGCCCTGTTAGACCACAAAGAGTGACTAACTGTTACCAGATTGTCTTCAAATAAGCTGAAGATTTGACCGTGACTATAGAAGCCGACATTAAAAACACTCTGGACGCACACACAAGCAATCTGGACGCACACACAAAACCAAAACACAGATAACACCAGCTGTTGCTAAAACTATCGCAAAAAATAACCACTACAGTCAAGAATTCCTATGTCTATAGCTTTTCACTGTTCAAAAAGATTGCTTATAGCTGGGAAAAAAAGAGACTTTGCTGCGTCAGAGGTGAGTGGCCAGGTAACTAAGCATGATTCACAATGGTGGCGCGAATTCGCGAATATTCGCGCGAATTGGTGGCCGCGTCGTCAAATCCCCGGCGGGAAAGTTTTTGGCGGGAAAACCACGTTGTCTGTACAAGACCTCTGCTTTCAATTTTTTGTTTTAGTAGTTTGCTTTTTTTTCCTTCGAAAGAATAATTTGTGGATGTCGTTCATGTTTACCTTCACGTAAGATCTTTCTGTGTCGACAAGTTCAATGATAACTTTCCGCAGCTTTTGTGCTTGGCTAAGACGAACACTCGGCTTGGGTTCTTCGTCGTCTGAGTATTCCACCTGCCGCCTACAGAACAGCGTTACCTGTTCAGCACGCTGTGTGTGAACAAGAAAGAGAAAGAGTTAATTGTTGTTAATCGTCGAGTTTTGGACATAACATTTAACCCAACAAAATAAAGACAACCCACGAATGAAGGCACTGAAATGTTCGCTAACCAGAAGTTTTGGGCAGCAGGTGAGCTTATTTGAAAGGCGACACGCACACCATTTTCAAATAACAACATAATTATAACACGACAACATGAATTCTACATGACTTTAAAATCTAAGACAGTTCCAGTAAATATACAGTTTGACTAAACAATGCAGTTTCGCCTGGCAGACGGTTCTGCAATACGGTTAGCTTTTATTGTATTATTAAAGCTAGACAAAGAAGGTACCTGAAGAAGTTCGTCCACACTCTTGCCGGATGGTATTGACGAAGGACTACTCAGGTCTTCGGTATAGCTTGTGATAACGCTTTCCGTATCCACTGCAGAATCTTCGTCGAAAGCTACGACAACAATACATAAATAAATAGCAAGACCAAATTACTTTCAAAATTAATCCTGAAGGTAACTACTTCGCCTAAATTGGTGTTAATTAAAACCTCTATGGAACGACATCGCCATGTTTAAAGTCACTTCGAAACACAGAAGAAGCAAACATTAATCATGACGGAAAAAGGATGGCTAAGAATGAAGAACATTTAAAAAAATAATAGTTAATGTAGAATTTGTAAAAATTTCGGCTATATTTTTCAAGAAGTCCAAGCTGTAACGAATTTAATTCCTTCCAGCTTTTCCATTAAAAACTCTTTGGTTCCTTACATAGGACACTCCTCATAAGGACATCTTTGGTGACGCACATACACACTTAAAAACTTGAGTCAAAAGCATAAATATATATTTCTACTTCAATTTATAAAGAAAAGCCCTGGGAAAATCACTCACATTGAGGTGGAGGAACAATGAGGTCACTTAGATCTTGCTCAGGAATTGTATCACTGAAAGAATAGGAAAACTGAAGCTATTAAAGTTAAAAGTGACTACAAAAAATGATCAAAATTCTTGCGCCTTAAACATCTACGGTAACTAATTGTTTGCATTTCCACAACCATATTACACAATATGAAAGTTTGGTGTAGTTGACTTTCTTGAGCAACATTTGTCAGCATTTGTCATCATCAAGTTACATTTACCAACATCCAAACAGAGTACATCCGATGGAAAAGTAGCAATCTAATGAAGGCTCAAAAGATTTAAAGTGAAATTAGAGCCCAACCTACTTGTAATAAATACCATACCGTGAGGATTAAACATTGTAATAATATGACAACTTAAACTTTTTTATTAGCCCTTTTCTCATCAAATTGTCCTAGAGTGTTCATCTGTCTATATGTACATTGTGTCTCATCCAACAATACATGCAACTTGCAAATGTAAAACAATGCGCAATCCTCCTCTTCTCTTTTTCGCTAACTGCTCGGTTGTTACCTTATTTTAGGAGGCGGCTGAACAACAAGACTGGTGATAATGGCATCTGATGTCACCTTATTTGCCACTGGTGGTTCATCACGGCATGAACGCAGTAACAAGGTAATGGATGGGTCTAGAAAAGAACAAAAACCCACATGATCCTTTCTGTAGTTTACATGATGTAGCTATCAAGATTCCACAGTGTGATCTCACAGTTCAAAGAAAGACATTAATCAAATGTTGATGCATACCCTTAAGCGCTTCTCTGAGATCTTCCACTGCATTTTCTACTTCTTCTACTTTAATATCATTTACAGCAAGAATTTCATCTCCAGCCCTAACACCTGACATAAAAAATTGCTATTAGTCAGTTTACAAGTTCCTAATAAGTATTTACCTGTACACTAAGTATTCATTGACTCCACATATGAGGAGATAAAATGCCTCCCAAAATGGTAACCCTTCCTGAGAGTTCTTTATTTTGTAGTTCTTTGCTTACCTTGAACATGTGCTAATCTCCCTTCCTCAACTGAGCTAACCACAATGCCTTCATCCTTACTCTCCACTGATATACCTGAAAAATTTGTATTTAATATTTTTAAAAGCATGTTATAGGAATCAAACATGCTAGATTGCAGTGCCTCATAAAAACATACTGTACATGAAAGCAGGCACAGTTTTTATCACAACTTGATATTGAGAGTTCTGACCATACATGCCTTATTTTGAAGTGAAATATCTTAATTAACAACAAAACACGTGTAGCATTTGACTCAATAAGAACTTGCACCCCAGAGAGCAACACAATGACAAACAAATACTTGATAAATACATTAAAAATAAAACAACATAAATGATTTTTTATGCACCAAAATATTTCATGAAACATATCTTATAAAAAATAAAAAATCATAGGTACAACTTGCTCAGATGTCTACATGTCACCTACCAAAATCAAGCCTATCAATCTCCATTGAACGTTCCAACTCTATAGTAAAAGTACACTTCTCACATAACCTGAGACAGTTATAGTTCTGTTGACAGAAAATCATAAAGTCAAGAGTAAAGATACTTGAGCAACCATTTTAATTCAATGGTAAAGTCATTTGACCATCAAAAGATAATATGTATCTTATGGCTTTACTAACATGACTCTCTAGCAAAGAATCCTGGAGGGGAATGGTGTAGTCTGCAATAAAAAAAAAGTTAAAAGAATTTATTTTGATAAATCAACACAGTAAAGTTGACAAAACTATATATTAAAAATAATCATAGTATTGTGTTTTGTTTATCAAGAGATTTTACAGATAAAAAAATCATTACTAGTAGTACAATTTGACCATACAAGTAAATTAAACTGTTTTATTATTTGCATTTAACAGCTACCCTTATTTTGTATGCTTATGTTGATTAGGGTAAACATTACTTAATCATTTAAATCAATAACTAACAAAGATGCACACTTGACTGCTTTACGGATCCTTTGTCTAAGCTTAACTTTCACTACTTTAGATTTTGGAAAATTTCTTAATTGAGAGCAAAAGATGATACTGATAACATTTTCTGAAAACCAGTTTTTTTTCCTTACCTGTTACACCTGAATCATCTTCTAATCCGAGTTTAAGGTAATAGGCCTCTGGGTTCAGTTGACGTTTGCTACAAGTATTTTCAACCACCTCTAATATAGTCATTTCATTGTGTAAAGGTATTACAGTGCTTTGATTGTTATCCAGGCTGATGCGGAGAAAGTTTCCAAGGTTTTTCCAGTCTGAGTGACTTGATGATAAAGAGCTGCTCTCCACCAAGGCACCTTCCTCCTCTGGCATATCATCTATGCTATCTAAGTTCGGTTGCAATTGTCTATGGGAAAAAAGGGAGTAATTAATAACATTCAATTAAGAGGCAATACAAGTTCTTTGAGGGAGGCAATACCTTTATCTGAAGTGGTCACTCCTACCGTTTTAATCTTGGTGTTCCAGAACCTTTTCCAGAGTAACGATCCCTGATAGACTTAACACTTGCTGCATCATTGATTCTCAGTGATGTAAGCAAAGCACTTTTCAGCTTGCCTACAGAGCTAGCTGATCTCTTTGCTTTGTTCCTTGTTTTTACTTCTGCATCAGTGCTCGGGTCTCTAGCACTTACAACAGCATGGAATGACATAACTGAAAAGATATTTAGTCTTGAAAGGATCTGTTTCGTGTTTCTTGAAACACAAGCTAGAAGTGTCTGAGGATTGGGTAATTGGCTGCCTTGGATGGCTGCTGTGTAGCACTGAAGCCGATAGAAGTCAATGTTGAGCTGTTCTAAGTTTTTATCCCACTTTGATATCTGTAGACAAAATACTGGTATCATTACCCAGGTTTTAAAGAAGAAATCCTCTTTTCTTTAGTTATTTGCAATGGGCATAATTTCAGGCTGAAATGCTACCCACTGAAAATTAAAAATTTGCATTTTTTTAATATTTCACCATTGCTGAGATTAATCAAACATCTAGGTGAACCAAGATTGTTTCACTCTAAACAAATCTTGTGTTCAGTTAACAAATTTTCAGTGACTCCGAAATTAAGTTTGGTACTGAAGTTATGTCTACATACCAGTCACATCATGTATTCCATGCAGTCACCTGTATATTAAAAATATCTTCATTCATGTATTACAACTTCAGCTGGCATTAACTTTGGACAGTTCACCTGATCAAGAAAGGCCTGTTTATTCTTGGAATCAGTAACAACAGTGGACTGTAACTCTGCCATTTTCTTAAGTTTGGAATCCGAAGATATTTTCTTTTCAACTCTACTGATCTCTGTTGTAAGAATACGTAGCATTTCATGCTTTCCCTTCTGTCCTGCTCCTGCCAGGACTGATGCAGCCATTGAATGTATTGCTGTTATCCAGTTCTCAAGATCGGTCTGATTAGATGCCTTGAAATGGAACCAATTGGGAAACAAAAATTATTTCATTGTTTTCATCCAAAGTCTCCCTGATTTAAAATTTTTCAAACCACCTCCTCTTAGTTTCTGTTTTGGTTTCTACCATATATACAATTAAAGAAAACTAAATAAAAACAAGGCTGTTGCAGCTACACTGCAAGAAGTTCATATAGAGCTGGAAATTGGATTGTTTTTTGATGTGGGGCAATGTTGTTCTACTATTCATTCATATACATACCAAACCCTTTATGTCATGTCTTAAACTTAATTAACCCTCATACCACTCAAAGATGGTTAGGTTGTTCAGGTGAATTGTAAACATACATATTTTCCTGACACAATTTTCTCCATTTTCTTAAAAATTCAAACGTAGTCAATCATTTAATGATGAAAGAAACTTTACCTGGAAGAAGTATCCTTCCCCAAGTCTGGAGCTAACACTAAACACATGATCTAACTTGGCATGTTCTGGCACAGCTTGGGCAACACAGCCATCAATTTCCAATGAAAAATTTGGTTCATCCAAATCCTGGGGACTTACAGTCTTTTCATTGCAAAAATAAAAATTCAGGGCACCACTTTTGAGTGACACCCAACATTTTCGCCACTTCCTATCTGATGCCTGCTCCACTTTGCTTGTCTTTACTCTTACAAGGACGTGTTTTACAGACAGCCAGCCTGCCTTACGAGTTGCACCCCCCTGACGTGACTGAGCAATTCCTGACTGTGGTTTCAAGTCTGTTCCACAGCTACTATTAAGGTCTCCTTCATCATGAAATGAGGCACAAATGTCCTAGAAATGAAAAAAATAATTATATTTTAAGCATGATAAAGTGGGTGTGAATTTTGAAAAGTTAACAAGAAATATATAAAATTGCATAGTTTTAATTGTCCGTAACACTGCATCGTGGAATCAAGTTTTAATGGGATTTTAGTTCTCCATAGGAACAACCTAATGTTACTCAGCACAAAGATTAAACTGTCAAGTAAAATCTGAGGAAGAAGAGACTGTACACAGTATGAACTGATGATGAATGATGAAGCTGTCCTCCTCTGTGTTTCTCCTTTGTCTTATTTTCTTCCAAGTTTTCCCACAGCAAAGAGCCCCTAAGCATCTTAGAAGAGGCACCTTCACACACGTATAGTAGTGGATTGATTTGTGTGCCTTAGTGACTTTTAATATATCACTAAAAAAATCAGGAAAATCATTAATTCCTCAGGCTTTACATGAAGGAAGCCTGAATGGAAGCAAAAGAAAAATTTGAAGGACAAATTTCCAGAATCATCCACTTACCACAGGTCTGTCATTAGCATTCAAATCAGCAACAGTCTTAAAGTAGCTCATTTCCAAGTCATCCACATCAGATAAGTTACTCCTGGAACTAACTGAGTAATCTGAGTCACTGGCAACAGATAAGCGTGAAGAAAGATGGTTTTCATGAGAAGGTGAAATATGTGTCATATTACGAGAGTCAAGTGAATCACTACCAACATCTTCCATGCCAAATCCACTGTCAGGGTCACCATTGCTTTGTAAACGGGGTATTGGTGTACTTGTGCGAGAACTGATAGGAGTATGTGTTTCTGTAGCTACAAGGGTACTGCTGGACTGGTAGTGGTCACCAATGTTATTACAGAGAGTACCATTGATTGGAGATTTGTTTTTTAAATCAGTGTCATTAATCTGGATTGTTGGTGTATCAGAACTCCCTTGGCTATCTTTCCTTGATTGTAACTGCAAGTGAAGAAAACACAGAGTTACTTTTATAGTTATTATAATAGCCCATGACAAAGTATGAAGACTTCTTAAGGACTTTGATTGCTACCATCAAGCTTTTTTAAACTCCCAAGATCTAATTGTTAATTCTTCCCTATAGCTGCTACACATTTCCTTGTAAAGTAGTCACAAGAATTTGTTGTCAGATCAAGAGAACAACTTCTTCCAGATAACAGGGTAAATAGGTATTATCAACTGAGTTGGTAACATAAATTGGCCACCATAAAGAGTTTTAAAGCTGATGTTTTGAGCATTAGCCCTTTGTAAGAGCAAATGAAAAAGGGCTAAGCTCAAAATGTCAGCTTTAAAACTCTCTATGGTGGCCAATTTATGTTATCAACTCAGTTGATAATACTTAATTACCCTGCTATCCTCTCCCACCAGCAAGGCACCACAGTTTCTCTAGAAACTTACCCCCTTTATTCTTCCTGGTAAGTTGAGTATTTTCATCACCCATTTAATTTTCTGGATAATGTATGGAATATAATAGGGAGAAGTTACATGTTTATCACTTCTGGGAGTTTATGGGATAAGTATTGAAAACTGAAGTGACAACACAAAAACACTTCATTTTTAGCTGCCTTTTCTTTGCTTTGGAAGCTGTTTAAATAATTTGATCGGAGTTAGGAATAACATTTCTATTAATTTATTGAAAGCTTCTAAATGCCATCACTGCTTGTGGATTGTAGTAATTTGACTTTGACTGAAACAAACCTGAGCCAACTTTCACAAAAAAACAAAAAAAAACCCACAATCACAAAGCTAAAAGAAACAAGAAGATACCTTGGTCTGTCCACCTGATTTTGGCTGATTGGTCAGTGATAGATTTGATGATGATGTGGTTGATGTGGAACGCACCCGTCCAGGCTATTAGCAACACAACACATTGTTCAGAGAAAACTATGGCTATATTTACAGTACATCCAATCAATAATGATGACACTGGTTTTCACATCAACAATTATTTATACCTAATTGTTTTTATGTTCAATGCAACAATGATTAATATATAAAAGAATACTCTTTACCAGCCACTAGATTGTTGCTTGGTAAATGATTACTTACAGAGATAAAAAGGTGACATATGTAACCTAAAATATCATACTCTCATGGACAGATATTCGGAACAATGACACATACACTGCAAAAATCTAAGAACTTCTGAGCTTCTTCTTCTGATACAAAGTTCAGTCCCCATGCATGACTCTCTGTAAATTTAGTAAAATTAAAAAAAAGCATATCTAGATTAGATTAAAAAAAAAGCATTCCAAGATTAGAGCATGATTGATCTCACAGTGTATAAAAGGTCAGTAATCATATCACTTCATGATACATTATTTTACATGCTTTTGCTGAGAGGAAAAATAGATTTCAATAAATTTCCAAAATTCTCAGGTTAACATTACTTTTACATTGAACAACATCAATTGAAAGATATCACTCATAATGAATAGGTAACCATGTTAGAGAGGCAATTTTTCAAATTACTGTTAATTAATACTTACTTGATTTACGATTTCTCCACTGCACAAAACACTCAGATGTCTTCTTGAGCCGAATTTCTGAAAAAGTTTTTAAATTTTAAAGTTATAAGATTAATATTACATGCAAACACTTACAATATCCAGGATTTCTCTCATAAATATTCTACCTGTAATGTTGTCAAGTAACAAGAAATGTAATAAGCAACAAAAGGAAGAGGGTGAAGGTTTAGATAATAGTGATACAAAAATTTCTATAGTGCCCTATTCTAGAGCTCTAAGGCGCTTTACAATAAAATGTTTAAAGCAGTAACTTAGTAAATAATAAATTCAAAAAATACTACAGTAAAACTACAAATTAAAATAGCACTTAAAAAGATAAGTCTTTCTTAAAAGATGTAAGATTTAAACTACATTTTATATGCTCTGGAAGATTATTCCAAAGTTTAGGGGTACAGACTGAAAAAAGCATGATCACCATAAAATTTTAACCTTAGGTGTCACTAAAAAGTTCCTGGTTGATGATTGTAAATTCCTATAAGGCTCGTAAGTTTGCAACAAATCATGAATATAGCTAGGACCTAAATCATTTAGAGGTTTAAAAGTCAACAGTAGGAAAACAATCCTCTGCTTTATGGGAAGCCAGTGTAGTTCTCTCAGTAATGGAGTAATGCAGTCATATTTAGATCCACATATTGCACAGTTCTGAACTAACTGAAGTCTACGAATTAAGAATTTTGGAAGTCCATATAACAGAGAGTTATAGTTGTCCAATCTACACATTATGGAGGCATGTACTAAAATTTTGGTGCTTTCAGCTGACAAGAACTTCCTAATATGAGAAATATTACAATTGTTAAAAAAATGTGGATTTACAAATGGCAGCCACTCATTGTTCCATGTTCAAATTATTGTCAAAAATAACACCTATGTTGCTGCCAGTGTGAGAGGGATTCATAACTTAACCATCAATCGCTGTGAAAGAGAAGAGCTGAGAGACTGGATGATATTGCGATCTTATGACCAAAAGCTCTGTCTTGTCACCATTAAGTTTAAGTTTGTTCAAAGACATTCATGTCACAATATCATGTAAACATACTTCAATTCTTGGCACAATTACAGACGAATCAGAGTTGAACGAAAAATAAATATGAGAGTCCTCTGTGTAGAAATAATATTTCATATTATGCCTTCTTGTAACTTCACCAAGAGGAGACATATACAAAAGATATAAAATAGAGCCAAGAACAGAACCTTGAGGAACACCATAAAATAGATCAGACCTGCTGGAACTAGTTCCATTCAGGCAGACAAATTGATTCCAGCCAGCCATGTAGGATTTGAACCACATGAGGACCCTTCCCTTGATACCAAATCGCATCTTCAATCTGTGGAGTAGTACACTGTGGTCAACAGTGTCAAAAGCTGCAGATAAATCAAGCAGTAACCAAATTACGGTGCCACCATTGTCCACAGCTTGCAATATGTCATCCTGTACTTTCAAAAGGGTGGTCTCAATGCTATGCAGTTTCTTATAGGCAGATTGAAGTTTTTCACGGAGATTGTTCTTATCAATATACTACATAAGTTAGGCCACAACCGTCTTCTCAATTAATTTGGAAATAAATGGAAGATTAGACAATGGATGAAAGTTCTTCAGGATCTAAGCTAGACTCCTTTTAAAGTGGAGTAATCATAGCACACTTAAGTGTATTAGGCATAAAAGCCCCCTCTAAAGAACAATTCACTATGTCAGTAATTACTAGCAACAAAGTTTATTAAGACAGAAGCTGGCAGAGGATCCAGAGCACAGGTTTTAACTTTGATTGACCTAATGAGATTAGCAATGTATTCAGTAGAGACACGTTGGAAGATCACAAGCTCACAGGGACACAGGGTAGTGGAATTCTCTGGGGGTAGATTTGAAGTATTAGGACTGCAAGCAGGTAAACTTTCCCTTATAAGTGGTATCTTGTTGGTAAAGAAGGAGTTGAACTGTTCAGAGTGAGAGGTTTTCTGTATAATGAAGTATTAATCACTTGAAACAACTTTTGCTGGTTTCCATGATTGGCCTCAATTAATGATGAGCAGTAGGCCTCTTTCACATTTCAGGTCAAGTCATTTACAACACAACACTGATCTGTGTACAACTGATGCTTGGCATTAGTCCTATCAGTATGCCATTGTCTTTCCAGCCTTCTCCTCTTTCTCTTAGCAGCCTTAATTTCATCTGTAAACCAAGGAGCATGGTGGCAAAAGGTAATGGATCAACGGACAATGGGAGCATGATGATCCATTACAGATTGAAGAGTTGAATTGAATAGGTCACTAACTGCTGATAAATCTTCATTAAGCAGTGAATTGATTCATGCAGAATTTTCCAAATCAGAAGAGAATTTATCCATGTAGATAGCTTTACTCTTTAGAAATAATGATAAGACCCTTGCAAACAACACCTCACCTGATGCTCACATTAAGTCTACCAGAATTCATGAAAATAGCACAAACAGGCAGATGTAGATGTGAATCAACACTTGAATCAGTGTCCCAGTTAAAGGGAAAAGGCACTATTTTGAGATTACTTTCAGAATTAGAGATGATTATTTTTGTACAATCAAAAAGGAAGTCCTTTCCTCATAAAATGCATAAATTTACCACTTTTTTTTCTAATGAACCAGAATTAAACAATCATACTAACCATTCAAGTTTATTTCTGCACTAAAGACAGTCTCATTGTTCATCAATGCTGTTACAAGGAACACATCTCCTGTTTCCACCTACAGAACAAAACCAATTCCTCTCACAAGACAGACACCCATACAAGCAAATACAATAAGCATGTTATTTATAACAATGCAAACAGACAAGTGAAAAATGCAAAATCCAATGAACATCTTTCATGAAAATTCATGAGGCAAGATACATTACTGCCATGAGGTTAGCTCCACTAGTATTCCCCAGATGACAAGGTGGCTAGAGTGATTCTAAAATTAGAGGCATCTGCAAAATTGTCCTCCTTTACTTTATCAACTGCCACATACAGTCTGGCCAAAGCCCCCCACAACATGTTATGAAGCACACAAGTACTTATAGTAATGTGTTATGTAAATACAATATCAATATTATTTTTACCTTCTTTCTGTGAATGGTAATTGGTATCACACTTTCTACCACAGGGACCCATCTCAAAGGACCATCATCTGACGACAAGGTATTAACTTCTGCAAGGGAACTGTACAACACAAATGTAACATGATCAGTCCCAACATAGCCACTGATTTACCGTAACAAGTTTACCTTAAATATAAAATTATCTGCCATAGTGAGTAGGGGAATGATTCTTAACTAAATCAAATGTCATTGAAAAGTAAAGAAAATATTCACTACCTTGAAAATGCTGCATAAGTTATGCAAATCCATGTGAAATCAATAATCATTGTGTGTCATAGCACTTATGGTTACTGTCAACAAAATGGGATGCCTTCCAAAAAAATCATCCACGTGTGCTTCTTTTGAAGAAACCATAGAAAACTAAATTTAATTATTAAATTGATGGTGTTTGCTTTATCGAATTACCAGCCTTCACGTTACTGCAGACCTTGAAACAAACTGGACAGTATCACTCAGCAGATAAAAAGCTAACAAAATGTGTGATGCTTTTCAAATATTTCTATTGGTTCCTGAGAAAATATTTTTTAGAGTTGAACAATACAAAATATTTTGGTTGTCATCAAGCTCTGAAATGTTGCAAGAGGAATATTTAGAATTTCCTTAAAGCCTCACACACTTTTGTGCATTAGTATCTGACAAACATTCTGGCCAATTTTGATGAAAGTCCAACAAATCTACATACCCTATTAACCTGTTAAAGTAGAGGTACCTCAGGTAAAAACAAACCTTGAGTTTTTGGCCTCCAAAGAAATTCACAGTTTTGCACCTCATTTTAGCATGTGTCAAGGCAGTCATGCCAATGACCAATGAAATGCAAAACTGAACCCCTAGCAAGTCTTGTGACATAGAGTTCCTTTGAAATTCATGGGAAAGGTCATTTTCCAAACCAAGGAACACAAATTTAATGAAATCCAAAATTCATTGGGAAAAGCAGAAAGAAAAGTAGGAAAACCAAGCCAGGGGAAAGAGAAAAACTTAACCTTGATTTCTTTGCTTTTGGGCCCTACTGCATCACTTCTCTTTTTGGCTGTTTGATAAGGACTCTTATTTCTCAACATTTTGCAAAATGCGTGACAAATTCCCTTTTGTTGTCCAGTGCATGACATGATGTAAACAAAATATGCAAATTGAGATCCCAGACCAAAGCCCACAGCAAACATCAACACTCTGCTGGAGGCCTTTCCAATTAAAACACCTTTTGCTTTTAAGTACAGGTTCTCCTAAAACATTCTTTCTTAAAAATATTGCATGTCAATAGGTAAACTTTGGTATAGCATAGTCTTAAATCCCTACCTCCAAAATGACTGAGTTTGCAAACATAGCAATCTTTTCATCTGTTTAGAGCATTCAGCAAAATCTTTAATTCTCCCTGTTAGTCATTTTCTGTTAAAATAAGCTGTTTAATTGGTTTACTGTGCAGTTTAAGTTACTATTTAGCAAAAACTGTGGATCAACTCATTCTAAAGATGAAAATGAATTATTGTTTTTAAATTAAGCATCCCTATCAATAGAGATATGCAAAACAAAATGCAATGCCTCAACTGGTGACCATTAATTTAAAAAAATTATCTTTCACTAAAAATTGTACTGCCCCATTTAAAAATTTCACTTGTGCCACAAAATGATTAATACAAATTAAAATTATATAAGTTTAAGTACTATGAAAGCCCCACTTTAGTTGCAATATTTTTAAACAGATTAATATAGAATTTAGAGGTTTAATCCTTCCCTGCATGGATGTTATAGATGTTATTGGCTGGGTGTAATGATCAGTTTTTCAACCCAACAAATGATACAGAGAATAAAGGCTAATGAAATTTTATTATCAGTATATACCTTTGTCATGGAGGTCAAATATTGCTGTCTTGGTTTTGGACAGTGTTTCCATATAGCCTTGCACCACATTGTTAGGATCACACTGCTAAGTTATTTCACAAACAAGTACTTTTTAAGTTGGTTGGTTCCCTACAGTTTTAAATATGTTTATTAGTGTTTGTGATCATGTTCATATTACTTGTAATTAAGAATAAACATTGCATGCCTTTGTGGGCAAACTGATCTTGTATGTACATAAACAATATTACAGATATATTATGATTCTTTACATCTTGTTTTAGTGTATTTAAAGTAAAAAAATCATCAAATAAATTTATACCTAAATGTAGATGAACAGCACCTGTACATCGACCCTTAATTTCACTCCAAGATCAGTGAACTTTTTCTATATTCAGCTCAAAATGCAATGAAATAATCATTATCACAAAACAGGTGACAAGATCAAAAGCAATATTGATGATATATGCAATATTGATACAATTCATGATGAAGTGGCCAAGTCTTGTCTCTTCAACAAATTCTCTAAAATGTTTAGAAAGCAGTGTAATTTTTACAATTTTTATCTTAATTAGCACCATTCCATAGTTTACATTTAATACATTTATGAATAAATCATGAAATGCAGGATCATAAAAAGAAAACAAAATTATGTCTCCTTTAACATCCTGCTGTAAATTATCTTATTTGTTGAATGAAATTTAAGTTAACTGAAAACAATGATCAGAACTCAGTTCCAATATATTTCAAAATCAAATCTCTTTCTTCATGATAGTTTTTAAATACAACTGTAAGTAATTTAAATAGTATGACAGAAGCAAACTAGCCTCGAGGGTAGACCTTCAAGAATGAACAGGCATCACCAACATGAAATACATACAAGAGGAGAAGGAGTTTGAAACAAATAATTCTATACTTCCACCATGCTGTGAAACAGCATGTGTTATCACAGCCAGCTGCATGTCAGTGGGAATTTCACCAAACAGATAATCATTTTTTCTTTTAAAAATATACCTCTCCAAAGATTCATATCATTTACACACATTCATTCTTCCACCAAAAGCTGTTTTATATATCAAATACAACAAAACTTATTAATGGACTGTTGTAATGCCCACAATGCCTGATTTGAATTGTTTGTTATTTTTTAAAGTTGTGGCATAAATTAAACTACTGTGTTTACAGATTGCACAGCAATGATTACTTCAAAATACCTAGTACAATGATTTAATGATGATGTCATCTGTCAATATTTCTTTTTTAATAATCAATAACTTAAAAGAGAAAAAACACTGTCCGTAATTAAACACACAAAACTATACTGAAATAGTTGAAAAGCAAACATTTGACTCAAACAGTATAATAAAACTATGACAATTCCTTACCTACAGTGTAACTAACTGATGTTAAAATAAATTACTAAATTACTACTTTGCTTAAAAAAAATTTCAACACGCACAAAATTAAAAGAAATCCTTATTATGCAACTCCTATACCAAAACTCTAATTTCAGGGTTACATGATTTTGCAGTCAATGTAAAACACAGACTGCAGACTGTACACTGGAGGTAAAAGGCAGACTGAGGGTAAAATGCAGACTTAAGACTGCAGACCAGGGGTAAAATGCAGAATCAACCATGGCCATGGTTGCTATGACTTTGGGGTCACATGGGGTCACATGGGATTTATAGTCAGTCAAGGCTCACCATTGCGACTGATACGGTTGCATTCACAACTAAAAATTTTCCTTTTGCCTCTAAAATTTATCTGTCAGTTGCAATTTTACGACTATTTTTCTGCTTAGCCAAATGAAATAATAAAATTCAACAGTCTTGTGTCTTATGTTTAACTGGTAGTTGCCAAGGTGTGATGAAAGTCTATTGCTACTATTTTCAAGTCTGAACAAAGTATACATGAGCTACATGTATGTTAAAGCTACCTAGTGTTGCTCAGCAGAACTTTCATTCCTTAATAAGATGCATGAAAAAATTACTCAGTTCTGATTGATTAAGATAAATGCAGTTTTCAGGTGATTCAGTGCAGAAGAGGGTTAATTCAGTGCAAAGAAGTAACCAGACTGAACAATTCCTTATACTGTTTAGCCAGACTTTGAACTTATTTGCACCTTAAAGATGTGAAAATATCATTATATATTATTGTTTTGATTGTACATGGTTGTTTTGACCAAATGCACAATGTCACTTGCAGGGTTAGAATAAATCATTTTTGTACTTGATGTGTGCACTTTGCTTCTCCATAATTATAATAAGCTATCTCGTATTTTTTCATGCATATTATTAAAACGTAATCACATGATTTTCCTCTTACAATTTGGAATAAATATTCATTTTAAAATTTTTTCAAAGACCCCAATTTGCACTTGCTCCATGGGTTCATGGGATTTTGTTAGTCTTTGAAAAAATTAACTCATGCTTATTTATTCCAAATTGCACTCAAAATCATGTGATTACCCATACTAACAAGGGAAATGTAATTAGCTGGCTGTGAACTGCATATTAAAATGCTTACATTTCTAATTTTTCTTACCTCAAAACAATATGTTCAATGCCTAAACCATCTGAGGAAGTGAAGTTCAAAATCGATCGAAACATCAATCGCCATGACGATTATTGCCAGCATCTCACAACTTGCACAGCCTAGATCCCAGCTCACTCTTGAAGTTATTGTGGGAAAGCCGATTGTTTTAGAACCGAGTCTGCCTTTTACCCCCAGTCTGCAGTCTTCAGTCTGCATTCTACCCTCAGTCTGCATTTTACCCCCAGTCTGCAGTCTTCAGTCTGCATTCTACCCTCAATCTCCATTTTATCCCCAGTCTGCAGTCTTCAGTCTGCATTCTACCCTCAGTCTGCATTTTCCCCCTAGTCTGCAGTCTTCAGTCTGCATTCTACCCTCAGTCTGCATTTTACCCCCAGTCTGCAGTCTTCAGTCTGCATTCTACCCTCAGTCTGCATTTTACCCCTAGTCTGCAGTCTTCAGTCTGCATTCTACCCTCAGTCTGCATTTTACCCCTAGTCTGCAGTCTTCAGTCTGCATTTTACCCCCGGTCTGCAGTCTGCAGTCTGCATTTTACATTGACTGAATGATTTTGTTAAAATATTTCCTTAAAACTAGGAATCATTGAAAGTACTTAAAGATGTTTTTAATGTTATATTTAAGGATTGTTGATTGGTCAAATATGTCATTTTGGTAATTTTCACTTTCTTTGTAATCAGTAGAGGAGTATTGGATGACTGTGAATATATAGAAACCATATATGTGAACTGCAGATACAGAAGTGAATATAAAAGCAATCTTTGCAGTAATGACCACTACTCAAGTAGTAGTGAAAATAAAGCCTGAAAAAGAAATTCATGCCTGTACGGGATTTGAACCTTAATGACCTCTACGATACTGGTGCAGTGCTCTAATTATGTTGGTTAAATTATCGGTTAAGTTACTTAGATATGCTCACCCGAAAGCTTTATCAGAATTAAGACCAAAACTTCTGCGGCAAATTTTTGTGAATAAACACGAGATGAAAGGACGCATCAAATAGTTAATTAAAAAAATGGAAAAGCACTCGAGAAGACCACAGAAAAGAGAAAATGATATTAGATACCTTTCACTGAATTAGGATAAACATCCCTCAATATATTGTTGGTGCAAAGCGTGAAATTGGACAAAACAACGATCTCCCTGCCTCAGTCTGGTTCCATGATCAAACAAGCCTATTAAAGCTGTCAGAAAACTTGGAGAGACTTTTTCAACAAGTTTCGAATTTAGTCGAAGAGTCTTCACGAAATGTAAACAAATATTAGAGCGCATGCAAATGACGTTGACAAAATGTTTACCGTATGACTTGAATGCCTCCATCTTTGCTCCAATTCTCGATGTACTTGGTGACTTCATGAGCCTCAAAACTATTTGCAGTTGAAGGAAACAAGCCGATCTGGCCCCCAAATTGGGGACCAGACGGTTGACTTTCTTTGTTTCCAATATTGTCTTCGTTTGTCACACTCCAGTCAAACTCCCATGGTAATACAATTCCATCTTGAAGATCAACACAACATCACGACCTTTTAGTTCAACTGCATGGCTTCAATTGAGTATTTATGGGGCCGGATGAAACCCTGCTAAAGAAAGAAACACTTGTGTTGAAGCTTCTGTAAAATGTTTTAGCTTAAGCCTTTCTTTCTGATTGGTTGGTGTTCCGGATCACAGAAAGCACACCGTCAAAGAGTGTCCCACTACTTGTTGCTTCAGGATCAAATCGTGAGGCTCGTGATTTGTCAATCCGAAAAAAATTATGCAGACTCTTTCTGACCATCTACCATAGTTTGACCAATGCTTAAATGACATTTTTAGGAAGTTGCTTAGATTACAAGCATTACATCTGCAAAGATCGATAGCGTCTAAACATTGCACGTCAAAAATTACTGTATCACACGAAAGCTGAAGCAAAAATCAAAATAATTTGAGTCTTTCAAACAATCGAGCTTTGAGTGAAAATTTACCTGGGGTTTGTGATCCTCTTTTCCGTTTTCTCAAGAAGCATTTATAATCTACTTCTACCTAATGTGACTGCTCTCATAATTCACGTACGAGTTGCCCTCAAGACAGTGTTCATAGTTACAAAGGACTCTACGCTCTGATTGGTTGCTGGGCTAATTTGTGTCACATTCCTATGAATCCTTGGGGAAAACGTGATTAAAACCACACGGATAAGTGACATAAAAGTTATCATATCACAATGCTGACCACAGTTTTGCAAAGATGCGCAAACTTGAAAATTATCAATTACTTAAGAGTTTAGCTAAAGTAAGATAAACTGCTTTGGACATGTTGGAAGCCATCGAAACTAAAGTATTAAATTTATCAAGATTTTGAAACATGTTTGGTTAAATTAAGAGTGAAACAAAAACATCTTTATGGTATTTTTAGTAACTGATATTGCGGATTAACCCAAGCTGATTACTTGGTTATCGCAATAAGAAGCCGACATTTAGTGTTTAATCAAGCATTAGCGTGACTGTTGATTTGACTTTAGCCTTTTTGAGCTTGTGCAACATCGTAGCTAACCCAAACATGGTAGATCAAAGGTTTCTTTTTCTAATTTTTCTTTTAAATATTTCCCTACATGTTCAGTACCATATCGTGAGTACAACATCTTGGAGTACCACTGGGATACCATAATCCGGAGATACAGAGATGCTCAATCACTTTGACAGCACGAATCAATTAGCAACTGGGTCGAAACTGGGTTACATATCGGAGACATAGAAGAAAGCAATATCAGAAACTGAGAACGGTTGTATAAAGAAGGCCCAAATCGAATTCCATCTGTTGAACTGGGAATCACTCTTTTGTGTTAAAGGCAACACTGTGAAATTTAGTGTCCTTTCGGACAGAATAACCCCATCATTGTCTGTTCTCTGTGAGGCATGGCAGAGCAGGGGAAACACTTTCTGAGCAGTTCTCAATAATGCTCCCGTTTCTCAGCAGAACACGTCATTTTCGCACGAAGGTGGCAAAGTACTTATTTGATTACCTCCATAATGTTATGAGTTCAGGGATCACTTTTTTTATGTCAACCTGTGAAAACCTGTATAATATGAAAAAGGAAGTGATTCTCCAAATTTTGGAAAAACCCCCTTTCTTACTGGAATTTAAAACTTAATGACTCTCTCCTGTGAACTCCCTACCCCACCCCCCCCCCCTTCCACCCCCTTCCCCATTTTGAAAAAAATGATTGCTTGCTTCGTTAGTCTATCCTTTTTTTTCTTGGCCCAAGGAAAAGTTGCGAACGACAACTGTACTCAACGCTTGGCGGACCTACTTACAATGTAAATAAATTAGTTTCCAGTCTATCCGTGGCTAAATATTAAAGATGGCGGATTGTTAACCTCGATGATTTGCAGAAAGGCTCTTGTTCATGTTAAATGTGCAAAGGAATTTTCGAATTTAACTCATTTTCGTAGTTTATTTTCAAACAGTTTCTATTTTATGGCTCATGGAAGGAAACATAAACATCTTTGAGGTACCTCGTCTGAACATACAGTGGGATTGGAAGGAAGCCCTCAGGTATGTCCATGTATTCGCAGTGGTGGAACGTTTTTGAGTTATTATAAATATATATATATATATAAAACTCTGCGATCAGATTGCCGCATTAGGGTATGTATCTTGCACCCCTCATATCAGAGCTTTCTTGCAAATGTTGTCATGGAATCAAGTGGCTGTGCACAAAGAATGACAGAAACCGTAAATTTTGGGCTAATTTTAATAAGTGTAATGGTCTGTGGCCTTCGCGAGAGCCTCGTCAATTAAGGTTGAGATTTATCAGGATATAAAATGTTTGCATCTAACCTTTTTGTATCATTTTTAAGTTGACACGTTTTTTCTGCTCCTGTACTCACAACACACACACCAAACAACTTTTGTAACATTCCATCACGTACCATGAAAACAATATCCAAAGTCCAATCAGAACATGGTAGTTACTAAAACAAGGAATGACCCTTAATTACCTATGCAAAATGCTTTAGAGAATTGCTAAGCTTAGATGATCATGACGCTCTTCAAAAAGACCTCTATTCAATTGAAGACTGGAGTGACCTTTGGGGTATGTCCTTTAATGGTTCTAAATGTAAACATCTTAGTATCTCCTAAAAGAAAAAGCCTACAAATTCATCCTATCAACTTGGTAACAATATCATCGCGATGACACGGTGTGAAAAGGATCTAGGAATTCTTGTTAACAATAAATTATCCTGGCATGATCATATTGTTAACAAAGTCAACACAGCTAATGAGGTTTTGCGTCTAATAAGAAGATCTTGTGGGTCGTGTGTCATTGCTGATGTAATTAAAAAGCTGTATGTCCACCTTGTTAGACCACATCTTGATTACGCCTCTCAAGTGTGGTCTCCTCATCAAGCCTATTTAGGTGATATGGTAGAGGCTGTACAATGTCGGGCGACTAAGCTCATGGTCGGGAATAGGATTCCTTACAAAGAACGTTTGAATAAGACTGGTTTGATGTCACTATCTTCTAGACGTATCTATCTTAATTTTTTTATTCAAATACCTGCATAGTTATTATGATTTCGACATCTCTAAGTACCTACAGTTTTATGATTCTGAGCATGAACCCTATAATTTAAGGAACACTGAACTAACCTTTTAAACTAACTATGCAAGAACAGATTTAGGTCTTCTTTTTTTCCCAGAGTTGCTCGTCTTTGGAATAATTTACCTATATCTATTAGGAGAAGGGAATCACTATCAATGTTCAAAAATGACCTAAGATGCTACTGTTTTGCTATCGATAGCAGTGATTTAAAGTGATTGTTACTTAATTTTAGTTAGCACTTAGTTTTAACATGTAGCATTTTACCATACTCGTTTTATGATATTGCCTGTAATTATGTATACTTTACTTTTGTCCTCTATTTCATATATATAGTTTCTGGTGGCCTTTATCTTTAGGGAAGTTCATTCCTGTTGCTAGGTCTTCCATCAGCTATTAATTATATGTTTGTATGTACATATATTTATTTGCTGTAAATTGATTAAAGTAAAGTAAAGTAAAATGACCTAAAATGACCTAAAATGACCTAGGACAACCTTGAGTGACTTTAAAAATGACCCAAAACAACCTAAATAACCCTAAGTGATTTCTAAAATGTCCTAAAACGACCTAAAATGACCTTGAGTTTGTGGCACCAACAAAATCTAGATTGGACTGGATTGAATCACAGATTGGATCTCGGATCGGATCTCAGACTGGATCACGGATTGGATCATGTAAAATAAAATTTTTGCGCAAGAAGCTGCAATAAAGTCTGCATGACAAAATAGATCATAGGCCCCTCTGGGAGTTTTTTGGCCCAAAAACCCCATGTAGTCACTTTTACAGCTGTGTCAAGGAGTGTTGTGTAGTGCCACCATGGACGAAGGCAAGCAAAAGGTATGTATCATTTAATCAGTCAGTTAAGAAATATGTGACACAATCCGCAGTTGCTTCTTAAGGTCCTTAACCTTCTTCCATTGCTGATGCGTGAGGCACATTGGAAGCCATAGTTTGCAAACTGATCAACCTAAGTGCTTCACATTGCAAGGTCAAAGTCTCGAGTGCTATTTGAGACATAAGACCTTCTATGAATCCCTACAATATTCAACCAATGAGAAGTTATCTTCCTGACATTTGGTTTGTCACACATTCCTCTCAATGACATTTGCATTTTGCAGCTGTTCAAGATCAGTGGAGGCACTTAATTGCCTCTCAGATTGAAGAAAAACCGAAAAAAATATGGAAAACTCATTTGAATATTTGATGAAAACCAAAAACCAAATGCTAAACCACATAAAATCTGCAAACTGAAATGAACAATCCAATCCAATCCGGTCTGATGTGATCCAGAATTTGGCAACGCGGCATTGTTCACATCACTCAAGGTCATATTAGGTTATTTTAGGTCATTTTAGAAATCACTTATGGTCATTTTAGAAATCACTTATGGTCATTTTAGGTAATTTTAGGTCATTCCTTGTTTTAGTAACTGCCATCAGAACATACCAAATCATTGCTCTATATGAACATCAGGCAATTTTTTTACTGGCTTGAATTGTATTCCAACAGTCAAATTCCATTTTGCCAAGCTAGACTTTGCTCTATCACATGTCATTTTCTTGTAAACAACATGCACTTAATCTTATATTCTAATGGCATTGTCCAATCCCACTGAAAAAAATTCACATGGAACTGAACGGCACTGTCAGTAAATTTTCAAAGCAATTCTCCTACCTTTTTAACTTTTTCTACAAATAAAATTGGCATTTAGCTACTGTGGACTTAATCCAATCACATGTTAATTCCTCATAAACAACCTGCATTTTATCACGCATTTTACACATAGAGGAGGACAAAGTCCAGATAGACAAAAACCAATCAAGGAGCACTCTTTAAAATATTATCCTTTTCTCTTGTTCGATGTATTTTCACTTATTCAAGATCACAGTGTATCTTGTTTAGGGTCTATCGGAGATACAACATAGTTTCAGTTTGCTTTTCGTTGTAAAATTACATGGAATTATATTTTGGAGGCAATTTATTGTAGACAAATAATTTTGATTGTCTCTCTGCTAGAGGAACAGCAGTAAGTGTAGTCTCTTTTGCAACCATTATTTGGTCTCATCACACAATGCGCTCTCCCTCAAATGGGGAATGTATGGTGTTGTGTGACAAAACTAAACAACAGTTGTGAGGGAAGCAACAGTAAATGTGGCACAAATGCATTTTATTTTTGCTTAGAAGTATTTAGACAATAGACCACAAAATATCTGTGTGAGTTCAGATAAATTAGTTTCTTTTTTCTTTCTCTTATGGTGAAGTAATGCGATATTTTCATCCATTTGAAAGTTACACACAGTGTTCTATCTCAGCCCATACAGCCAAAAAAATTACTGTTGCATGCTATGCATGCCTATGTTTTATGATAGGCCTCAAGTATGCCTGATTGTGTTTGGGTTGTATTTGAGGTAAAGATAAGTCTTCAGTAATATGTAATCTTTCCTAAATGTATTTTTTTAGAAACCCTGGTGGAAAGGCTTGGATTTCTTGCTCTCGAATCAGTAAGGCTAACATACTAAATGTAAAGTTCTGGAACTGTGAATGTACATGTGTGAATATTACAAAAAAAATTTCAACCTAAAGATGCAAGCAAATCAAGACTTTCAATAAATTCTTTAATTACACCCACCTGTTAATATGGACCATGAATTCTCTTTATCAAAAACTCCAACTTTGATAATTCTATGGGTATATTTTTAACAAGGTTGTGTTTGAATAGAAACATGCATTTATTTGATAGCCTGTCATAGTCTCCTAAGTAATATCATAGGTTTTCAACCTCATACATTTTTGCTTGTTCAGTTAATCATTGATAAAATAACACTTGACTGGCATTTGGTTCTTAATTGTTTTTTTTTTAATAAGCCATATATCCCTCTTGCATAAGCTCCAGTCTCTTACGAGCTCCTTGTCAAGAAAGTGCACTAAATATTTTATGGGCCACTAGAGGCTTATTTGGGTGCTTAAGGTAAAATACCCAACATTAAAATTTGATGGTTTGATTAAACATCATCCTTTTGAAATTTATGTTGAAGATCAAACTTTATTAAAAAGTAATCAAAGACATAACTAGAGAACATTCTGTGAGATGGTAATTTTTGAAGACCTAAATTATACACAAAACATAATCACAACAAGTATAAAGTTTTCACCCAAAGATGTTATTTTTCAGACCAGCCCACAATTTATGGAGAACTTGTCAGAGCAAAAAGCATTGAAGAAGATGTAGATAATAACACCATATCTGTTGAGGCCTCAGAAGGATTTTCAGTACAAAATGTCAGCAAGGTAGGAAATCAGCCAAAAAGTGTGTTAAGTTTTTTGTGCTTAGTATAATTGCAGTTTTGAAGAAATCTAAATTCATCTTTTCCATTCAATTATCAGACTAGCCTTACTCTGTCATTTCCAGAAGCAAATTGTTCTTCAAAATTTATTTCCCCAAGTGGATCTTTCCAAAATCTTCACAGCAAAAGTGTAAGTGCAGTAGTTGTAAATAAATAAAATAACTAGCTCTCTGTATGAAATAATACCATGGTTATGTGTCCAGGTATTGCTTATATCTTGAGCATTAACAGTCTGAAAGCACAGTCAGAGCTTCCCAAGATCAGCCTTTTATACTTTGTATAATAATGTGCATGAAACAATTACATGCTTCTGATTGGCTGAAAACAAGAGCATTAATTCTTATGTAACACAAGTGCAAAGTTGAAGTATGAGTGTAAATTGCAAATAGTGCATGCACACTTTCAAAATTTTGTCTGTCTTGGCTTTCTACAGTGTTTTTTCATGAAGAGTAATTTAGTGTTAATTAACTGAGTTGAAAACATTAATTGGCCATTGTAGAGTTTAAATGCTGACATTTCAAGCATTAGTCTTTAAACTCTTTACAGTGGCCAATTTATGTTTTCAACTTAGTTGATAACACTAAATTACCCTGTTATACTCTCCCACTGACACAGCACCACAGTTTCTTTAGAAACTTGCCCCCTTTATTCACTTTTTCGTGTACTTTGCTAAATAGTAATAATATACTTTTTCTTGAAATTTGGTGTGATAGGCACTTGTTAATTTTTTTAAATAATACAAATTGCACCAATGCTGTATTGGCTTGTGCAATTTTGTTGCCTTTGAAAAATTTACTTGTGCTTATTTACAACAAATTGTACTTGAAATCATGTTATTACCTATAGTAATTTTTAATCTCTCCTCATTGAATGAGAAGTTCCTGACAACAAAAATTTTGATTATAGCATGAAATTTAGGTGACTTCTGGAATTCAGAGAATTAAATTGTTGCTTTTTGTGGAGAAAAAAAAACTGGGGAAATGGAGAAAACCCTATGTCAGTGAAAAGAAACAGCAGCAAACTGAAGCCACACGTTTAACTATGTCTAGAATCAAACTTAACTTAAGCAGAGGAATGACAGTGCTCTTGCCTCTGCTCTGTTTGTAATCCACATAAATTTTACTTTAACTTAAGTTGGCCTGATATTGATCTACTAATTTTGGCTTTCAGGTTCGATGTATAGATATATCCCCTGGAGGGGGAATAGGTGTGTCCAGTGGAGATGACAGCACTCTTCTTGTCTGGGAAACTTCCACTGGTGTTGTTAGGGTATGGTTTTATTTACAGAAAGTATTACAGGCCTGTAACTCTACACTACAGCACAGGAAGCTCCAAATGCAAATATACTGGTACTTAATTTTGATAATGGTGTTCATTGTGCAGCCCCTTCAAAAAACACATTATTTCCTTTCTGGTCTCACCTTAAATCTGTGTCTTAACAGATCACATATTAAGATGATGGTGCTTGTGTTGCTTGCAGCATGATCTTCAAGGTCACATTTCAGACGTAAATACTTGTAAATTCTTTCCATCTGGAAAAGTTGTTCTCAGTGGTGGTGCTGATTTGCGGCTAAAAATCTGGTCAGCAGAAGATGGAAGTTGTCCTGTGACATTGAAGGGCCATACAGGAGGTATTTCAAGGGCAAGATGTATTGTTCATCTTTTTTATGTTATTATTTTACTGCACTCTAAGTGGGTACTATTTGCTAGTGCTTTATGAAGTCCAGATCCAAAAGATTTCAAGATTCAAGAACAATGTCCAGCCATCTTCAAGTTGACCAAACAAACTTGATCAAACAAATATTTACTTATTGCCAAAACATTACAATTTTTCTGTTCCAGAAGCAATATGGGCCATGCCTTGCAACACATAGGTCCATCTTCCCTGCTCTTAATTCCAGCTAGGACTGAATTTCTTTCATCCTTTCTGCTTACACAACCAGACATTTGACAAAAGTGTGGCTCACTATTGAAACAACTTCTCATTTCTTAAGTGTTGCTTAATATGTGGTCACCATTTTCTCTGTCATCGACAATAATTTATCTTTAACTGTTACTTGTAATTTGCAGGAGTTGTTGACACAGCTATTGTTGACAGAGGAAGAAATGTTTTATGTAAGCGCGAAAAGGATCTTTGTTTTAAGATCTGATAAATTTTAACTCAATTGTTTGTTATATCGATATAATATAGCCACAGGGTAGTATTAACATATTAACACCAGGTGTGTTATACAAGGTTGACACAGATCTGATAAAAGTACCAGGAAGGCTTCCCAGCTTAACTGTAGTGATCCCAAAATTCATGATTAAAAAACTGGAAAGTTAAAAAACAAAACTAAATAAATGTGGATAATATGAGATCTTTGTTGACTTGAAGTTGCATAAAGTCATTTAAATTGATGACTTGAAAACTTCACAACTGAGATCAAAATTGGCTGGGTTTTTAAATCCTAATGAAGAACTCAGATTTGCCTTTGTTGCTACACTTTTGAAAAGTTTGATGATAGAGCTTAAAGTTTACCATGATCTGTAAGAATTTCTTTATCAAGAGGCAACAACCAGCTACTTCCAAAATTTCCACCAACCCTCACCCATGCAAATAATGTGCTCCATGACATGTTATGTTATTTGTTGGTGTTATTCTAAAAGCATGTTCTAGGGATGGAACTGTACGGCTGTGGGATTGTGGAGAAGCCAAGTGTCTGGCAGTTGTGTCAAGTGGTGACTGTCCTGTGAATTCATGCGCATTGACACAGCTCCAAGGGATGGAAAGTACTCCTGAGTCAGACAACCAATCTAGTAAGAGTGTAGTCTGGTGACATAAATATTATGAAGATATGATAAAACCAAGATGGGCTCTTGGGAATGCCTGTCATAAATGAATTCAATATGTATAGTAGCTCATCAGAAGGTTTTCAGTAGCTCTGTAGTTGAACATCCTAAAATGTGAAAGTCTGAGGACTACCTTCTGTCTTGTTCCAGGTTTCATTAAAAATAGATACCATCTTTGGTCTTTGTTTGTTCAAAAGCCAAGCCTAACATTTTCCATCTATTTGGTTGTTCTCGGTCCATTTACTCAAACTGTCAGAATGATGTTTTTCCTTTGAAATGGGAGCCAAGTAAAATCCCTTTATTTCAGTAAGTTCCGGTTTTGCATTATCATTTCTGCTGAGGTTTCTGGCCCTCCTCTATACTACACTATACTAAATCATACCATTCTGTACCATACTATACTATATTATAATATACTATGCGATACAATTCTCTACTCTATACTCCTACACACACGCACACATGCACACTTCAAAATTTAGAGGTGCCTCCTTAAGGGTGTGGAAAGAATTTTTGCTAAACACTCCTATGAAAGGTGAAGTAAAATATCGAAAATTAACCACACTTATCTGGTCATAGAATTCGTAAAACGTAGTTCATTGCAAGCAGTGATTGTGTGTGGTATTATAATTGAAAGACGAAGTGTACTATTTATTCTCTCTTTGTGGTGTTGTACTTTTAAGGTGAGCGAGAGGTTGGGACTGTTGGGAAATTACTTTTACTCGCCCAAGAAGACGGATTTCTTGAGGGTGTGGACGTACGTAACAAGGAAAAGGTACATTGTGGCCTACTTGATGAATTACTTTAATCTTAAATGTTTTTTGGGTCTCGATGAGCTTTTCTGATCGGAGTTAAATACAAAAAGAAAACAAACAAAACAAAGTAAAAGGACTTGTGAACGACATGGACAGTGCGAAATACCTCGGAAAGACATGTTTTACCCATACGGTTTTAATATCTACGATTGTTAGGTTTTTCAGGTAAAATGTTCGTCAGCTGTGAACTGTTGTGCATTTTTGTCGGAACACGAAGCTGTCGGTGGAACAGAGGATGGTTCCTTGTGGTGTGTAGACGTTAGATCTCCAAGGTTAGCATTTGGGATAACTCTAAAGAGACCACAAATAGTTAGAGATGGGGTGGTCAGAAAACTCTTGCCACACATGTTTTACTGATTGAGATAGGGAAACTGTGGAAGGTGGGTATAATCTCGGAGAGGTTCTCACCTCTGACGAAGGGCATATGTTCGAAACACCAGCCTTTAAAAATTTGATATGGCAGTTTATCTTCCTCTATCAACTTCCAGTTAAGTAATCAAATGAGGCATTTTAGGAGGAAGGCAGGAGCCTGAAAATAGGCAAACAATCCTGGAATAGGGTTTACAGGCCCGATTTAAAACACATGTTGTGGAAGGTAAGAAAAAAAATAGAATAAGTCGCGGGAGCGGGATGCACTGAGGTGTATTTTTCATTTACGTTTTCCTTACGATGTTTTTTTTTTTTTAAGATTAAGGATTTTGTATTTTATGGAGTTCAAATTAACGTGTGTTGTTTACTTTTCCAGTTCACCAGTTGGCGTGTTTCGCCGTTCATCCTCGCCTATACTTTCTTTATCAACCACTGGTGATCGAGCATTTCTAGCATCTTCGCGTGAGTATTCACTTCTCGTGATCAGTGTGGTATCAGCTGATATCAAACCAGGATCAGGACTTTTACAGCCTGTCTGTTCAAACTGGAAAATAACAGCCCCTAGTCAAGTTCTCCTTGAATCCCACTTTGCTTTAGTTCTCAATTTGCCAGCCTACGTGAACGTGTAGCCTCTCCCTCCGTTCCCTTCCGTTACTCTTTTGGGGTACGGCTACACGTAGGCTACCAATTTGCTTGCACTTCGTACAATCTAACCCCTCTTCTGCCATGCACATCTTTAAAAAGCTTAGTGGCATTGTAGGTAGAGCTGGTGGCATAGAAGCAGGGTTGAATGTTCCACATTTGACACTAGGGACGATACAATGATTTGCGTGGGGGAATGGACCTATCCAAATCCAACCCAATCGCTTTCAAAATATGCTTTCTATGGAGAACTGAAGATCAACAGACAGACATCCCTCCAGCTTCAGAAAAACTTGTATTTGTGTATTTTGCAGGAGATGGGGCATGTTTTTGTTGGAGTGCGAAACTGTTGAGGCATGGAGGAAGCGAAGAAGTGACCAGCTGGGAGTTGATCGGACCCGATTACGACCCAGTTTACAGTATTTGTCGCTCGGCCAACACAGTGCACTCTGCTTGTCGCGACAAAACAATTAGAAAATATATTCTTAAGAAGTCTGAACTTCCCACCTAAGACTGTGGGTATATGTACAGATATGTCCATTGTAGAAAACCTTTAGCGAAATAGCTTTAAGAGGAACTTTCATCCATCCATGGTGGTACTCCAAGTGCAAACTTGTCTTCACACGAGCTATAGCGGTATCTTGCCGATAATCACTTTCGAAGTCGTCTTTGTTGCAGTGGAATTTGTCTAAATCAGTTTTATGTGACCGCAGGCGCCAGATATGAGGTGCCCTCTCCTGTCTTAGGATTTATTTGTTGCCACCCATTTTAAATGTCTGCGTTCCATGTGTTGTCCTTGTGACTTAGTTTCGGTCACAGAAGCTTTGAATGAAACATAGGCAACTTTTTGGTCAGAAGTTCGTTTCAAACCAATGACCTGTCTGGAACTTTCAAATACGCTCGCTCACGATGCAAAACTTGTCCTTTCATTTATAACGTAAAGAAAATATCGGGACCCAAGAAATCCATTAAGACCATTGTTGCAATAAGTTATACATTGGCCAAACAGGAAGACGACTAGGTGACCGAGTCCGAGAACACCTTCGCAACGTGGAAGTAAATGACAATGACGCATCCAAACCAGTCGCTAGACACTTTAATCTCCCTAAATCATTCAAAACAGCACATGGCAGTTTGCGGCCTTTCCTTACATCTAGGCAGTTCGGAAAGCCGCAAAACACTAGAACAAAATTTATCTTCCAAATCGGCACCCTTAATCCCCACGGAATCAACGAGCGCTTTTCATTCAACTTATTTAATTTCTGTTTTCTCGTCACCATATTCCCATCAATAGCGTAGCTCCACTTTCTGCATATAAACCCACACACAACCCACAATTCCCCCAATCGCTCTGACGAAGGGCTAACGCTCGAAATGTCAGCTTTTTTACCCTTTACGGTGGCCAATTTTGTTAAAACTAAATTACCTGCTATACTCTCCCACCGGCGCAGCACTACAGTTTCTTTAAGAAACTTACCCCCTTTATTCGTATAGCTCATTAGGTGGGTTTCCTTAATTTTCCAGTCTTTTCACTATTACTTACCCAGAAGCCTCTGATCTTTAATGTGGATTCGTCGTCTTGACCATTGCATAACAGATATGTCCATTGTAGAAACCTTCAGCGAAACAGCTTTAAGAGGAACTTTCATCTATCCATGGTTGTACTCCAAGTGCAAACTTGTCGTCTCAGGAGCTATAACGGTATCTTGCATATAATCACGTTTCGAAGTCGTCTTTGTTGAACAGTAGTTTTTGTAATTGGAATTTGTTCAAACCAGTTTTGTGTGACAGCTGGCGCCAGATATGAGGTGCCCTTTCCTGTTTTTGGATTTATTTGTTACCACCCATTTCAAATTTTGGCGTTCCATGTGTTGTTTGTGTGACGTAGTTTTGGTCAGAGGAACTTTGAATGCAATTTTTGCCCTATAAACATGAGGATCTACCACAAGATTCCTTTAATTGAACTTACGTGCTTAGTGGTCTTTGATTAAATCCTAACGACACAGCTGAAGGAAAAGTTTTTATTTTTTCACCTTGGTGGTTCCCAAGTACCCGTGGTTTGTCGTCCTCTCTCTTTCTGCAAGCGGTGCTAGAACATGAAAAGATGCCTTATCGGCAGCACTTGTACTCTAGAACTCGTCATCATCCAGGCGTAATGAGGCCTGAGTTGCAACTTTCAAACAAGGTTCTGAGCTAACACGGTTACCGCTTAATCTCAACTCTTACTCAGAACTGCATCGACTTTTGTGTAGGGCATCTAAACACCTCAGCCGGCCACCGGCGAAGAGGGCAGTTCATACCCTTTTGATGCTGAAAAAGAATGACTGGTGTGTCTGTCCCGCCCTCTAGTACTACATGGGCATTCTCTGATGACAGACTTACCCTTTTCTCCTAGAAGTCACATAGTAAGAATCAGTTCCGCAATACTTTTGCTCTTTAAGCAAACAAAGTTTACTCGTAAGTGCGATTTGCAACGTGATGTCTTTTGTTACTTGGACTAACTTATTTTATTCGCATTATGCGCATTCACAGCCACCCTTACACAAAATCTACCTATTTAGTTAGACAGGACGAGATCAACTTTGTACCTAGCTGGTTACTTTTACCTAAGCTATTTAATTTCTGGAGCAGCTGTGCGACACCTTGAGAAGCAATTTTAAAAAATCTTTGACCCTCATGGGTGACCAGCATTTGATTTCTCCTTACAATATCATCCCTAAATAGAACATTAAGTTCAAGAGAAGAAAGGAAATGATTACCATCTCAAGAAGCTCTTGATTGTTAAACAAGTAATCACTGTCTGTTTCGTAGAAAACGTGTAGAGAACAGTATTGAGAATATGCATACTGATGTTACGTTGAAAAGGGTTAAATCGTACAACATGTGGAGTTTACCCGCACGAAGTTTCTTGGTACCCATCCCATACCCCTACGTTTCACTGGCGTGCCGTGGTGCGTGTCGGCAACATACTTCGATTCATCAATTATTCACAAGATCAATGTCCTTTTGTCAGGAAAATTCCTGGGAGTAGCTCTTTTTTATGTGAAGCCTCGAATTCAAGTGTCATATGTACTGAGCAAGCGTTACAGCGAATCGATTGTAGGATTTCTTCTTGGAGTCTTGTGCATATTTATCGTCAATGTCGCTCTTAGCCGATCACAAGTTGTTTTTGGGAGCCGTGGGGATCGCATTGACTTCTGCGGTGGCCGGTTTTGGTGTTAGTCGGATATTTGAACGTCGAGATAAAAGCCTCTTTAAAATCAGCGATGAGAACAATCCAGTCAGCAAGTATGTAACAGAACATGGAATCCGCGAACCATCAGTGCTTACCAGCTTGAGAAAGGTTAGAATCAATCGTAAAGCTCATTCGGTGGGTTTCCTTTAATTTTCCAGTCTTTTCACTATTATTTGCCTAGAAGTTTCTGGTCTTTAATGTGGATTCTTCGTCTTGACCATTGCATAATACGAAGAGGCAAACAATAACGGACCCTATAAATTGATTTCCGACATGCAAATTAATTTTTCGATGAGGAAAATACCCTGACTGAATTTTGAACGGTATGCTACTCCATATAATCATGACATGCTTTCTCGTGGCGCACATTGGCGTTCTCAGCTACATACGGTCATGTTTATCGTCTTGATTGATCTGATAAGTCATTACTTTGACATGATCGGAGAATTTGGTGATCAAGGAGGAAAGGTCGACGTTTTGGTGAGCAGTTTTGCTAAGTATTTTATGAGTTGTGCCATATTTTGAGGAACCCTAGGTGTAAAAATGCTCAGCGATACTACACAGCAATTGGGTGAAGGGCTACCACTCAAAACGTCAGCTTTTAAAACTCCTTATAGTGATCAATTTACTCTTTCAACTCAGTTGATAACACTGAATCACCCTGTTATACTCTCCCACCCACACAGCACCACAGTTTCTTTAGAAACTTAACCCCCCCCCTCCCATGGACTTGGTCCATCACTGGGAATACAACAGTAATGTTAGAGTTCATAGTTATTCATGTGCATTTCATGTATGTTAGTATATCTATCTTTGCAGGCAACTGTGAAGCTTCCATTAGGTGACATGCTTTGTAGTTCTGATGAAGCTCAGCTTATGAGGTTGCTTATAGAATTGATTAAGGCCAAAAAGGTTATCGAAATAGGTGAGATGGACATTTAAAAAGACATTTAGTAGTCTACTAATCTCATTTTTCTTTTCATTTGAATTTTATTGGAATAATGGTAGATGATAACACTGTCAAATAGTGTTGGATATCTAAAAGTGGAATGTGAACTTAAAACTTTCCTTTGCACATAGCCTTTCTTAATATATATTCACCAGTAGTCAGTTGACATATCCCTTAGAGGTCAGTAGTTTATATTGATAATGGAAATGGGTCAACTTTTTCTTTTGTGGGTGATGCCAATCAGTTGATGAAAGGAAAACACTTAATCCCCATAAGCTTTGAATTGGGATTTGGTGCGATGGCTTTGGTGGAGGGAAGAAGACTAGGGATAAAATTAATTATTATTCATTAGATTTACAATGAAAACTCTGTTTGATTGAGAGCCTACAGTCAATATAGAACAATGTGTGAAGTTGACATGATTACCCAAAATCTGCAACAGATATAGGTTTATCATGTAGAGTTCATACTCTGCCTAGTTTCCAAGCCCCTAGTGCCTTTAGTGTTCTCAAACATTTGCAAACTCAGTCATGGAGGAGTGTCTTCTTTAGCCGATTGATAAAAAAAATGTATCATAAAGCTATTAGCAAAGTTGTTTTTTGCATGATATCATGTATTATCAAACTTTGTGTCTCAGAACTTTGCATTAATAATTCATGATATCATGCTTAACCTCATCCAATAGTTGCCTATAGTATGTAAAGAGGTAAGGATTTGGACCTTGAGATGAAACATGGCTTATTTAACTGCTCTCTTAGCTCCCAGTGAAGAGGCTTAAGTGAGGCTCAGTTATAAGTTGAAATGTCTCTTAAGTTTATACCTATTAGGTGCAGGTATTTGGAAACTAAGAACAACCTGGGTGAAGCAAAACTAATGAGTTGTTATAACAAATTCAACTTGTAATTTAGTTGAAATCTTTCATATTTTCCCTTCTTTCAGGTGCTTTTACTGGTTATAATACACTAAGTATGGCCATAGCTCTGCCATCTGATGGCAAGGTTGTGGCGTGTGATGTCACAGACAAGTTTATGAAAGAGGTTGATTATGACCGTTACTTCCAAGAAGTAAGCTGAAAAATGTTTTATTTCATCTTACTTGTATGCTAAGAAAATGATTAATTTAAGACCCATTTAAGGCAGGTCAGTTTTACATGTGGACTCTCTTTATATAGTATCAACAGTATTGGCTGGTGAAATGATTATGTAAGCTAAGAAAAGTTTTGCTACTAAATTTGTAACAAAAGGTAATTGTTTTGTGACTACTTTTAGCACTCATGTAGAAGTGATTTATTAGTAACATCCCTCTAACTCCCATGAGTGACCAAGACAAAATTTCTCCCTACAATATCAATACAATATCAATCAGATAAGTGATGAGAATAGTAAAAAAAATATCAATTTAGGGATAATTAGTTGATTCAATTACTAACTTCTCTGAAATAACATTATAAGAACTGTATGTTTGACAGTAAGGAGAAGTACAAATTTGATCTGGGAGTTAAAGGGTTAATAATATCAAACAATCCAGACAAGAGATGGTAAGAATGAGAAAATACAAACAAATTTTCTTGACTTATTTGTAGGGAAGTTAGTTGAATAAGAAGGAGGAAGTATGAATCCTATTTTGGGTCAATTGTTTACAGCTCAGTTCATTAAATGCAGTGATTTTTTTATTCTTACTATTTATTATATAGGCTGGTGTCAAGTCAAAAGTTGAATTGAAGATACAGTCTGCCCTCGCTACTCTAGGTAATAATAGTCTCCTTTTGTTGATGTCTGGTGAGTTATTGAACCTCAGCTAATTCCATTTCCTTGGTCAGATGCTCTCCCACACTTTACTTTAGAGGTTACTACATACCAGGTTCACATGACAAGAAGCTCTGTGTACAGCTAGGAATGGTGAAAGAATATCCTCTGTGGAGATACAGAGGGACAGATGGTGAATATTTGAGCAAATAAACATTAAAAACCCTCAGAAAAGATTTATGCTATAACAAAAAGATATATCTTATTGTGTTTTGAAACCTATACACTCACATCAAATGGTAATAACTCTGACCTGAAATAATTGCCTTTTTATAGATGAACTTATTGCTGCAGGAGAAGCTGAAAGCTTTGATCTTGCTTTTATTGATGCTGATAAGACTGAATATGACCAGTACTATGAAAAATCTTTGCAGCTTCTGCGGCAGGGAGGGCTGATAGTAGTTGACAATGTAAGTATAGGGTCAGTTTAAGGTATAGGATCTATAGATAGATCTCTTAAAACCCTGTGGTGATTAACATGAAACTTCTCCCAATAATATCCATACATTATTCAGCAAACAGGTAGTGAGAATGTTCAAACGTATCAGGTAGAAGCTGAAAATGACCAAAAAGTGGCTCTCAAGGAGAAGAAGCAGAGATTAAGTTGCATAAAATTTTGCAAATTATTTGACATTGTTTTAATTTTTTATATATTTTTTTTAGGTTTTGTTGAACGGTTCAGTTTGCGACCCTGAGAAAATAGCTACAAATCCAAGGACAAGAGCAATACACAACTTGAACATGAAACTTCACAAAGACACTCGTGTCACCATTAGTTTGATTCCCTTTGCAGATGGTGTGACAATAGCAATGAAGCTCTAAAATATTATCAATTATAGACTGATTGTTTCAAACGTGTCTAGTCATTGGTTAAGCATGTAGCCCTGAAAGCTTGAATAAAGTTTACATAGAAGAGAAGATTATTTTGAAATTCCTGCTTCTTTCTTTTTCTATTCAGGTAGCTTTTACCTTTCCAAAAATTAATTTGAATCGAGTTATCTTTGTTAGTTCAGCTTGCATACCAGAAAAGAGTAGAACTCAGTAACCATTAGGGGTTACCTTTTCTAGTACTTTAGGTTCACTTTAAGTTTTTTTTTTTATCTTTTTTATGGTATTGACTGAAAGCTAATAATACTACAATGAAAGTTCGCGGTTTGACCACTCCGTCCTATGAAGCAACCAACAGTACATATACAATACATACAAAATACATGCACCGTACATGTGCAATACATGCACAGTACATGCACAAGACATGCACAGTACACGCACAAGACATGCACAGTACACACTCGAATGCACGAGCATACTTACATAAATCGAAACACAAAAATTAATTAATTTAGGGGCGAATCACATTTTCAAGTGCCTTATGCAAACATACGAAGGCGCATACCTGGCCTCTGGAAATAGAACACGTGTAAATGTCCATTTCTTCATCCGTTGAAATGTATTATACGTTGATATCTGCAGAAAGGTCTGAAAATAGGCTAAAATCACGTTAATAATAGTAATTTTGCATAACTCTCCATCTGGCCCCTAAGAGCACTTGTTATTGTCACATTATTTAAGAAAATTCCTCCCTGCAGACCCCAGGGGAAATAGCCCAATTTTTTTTCTTTATTGTAGTTGAGAGAATTTGGGGATATACCATCATCCTTTACTACAGGCAAACCAACTGATGCATTTCCGGACTCTTACAACTGAAATACGTGGAAATTGAAAGAAACTGACCTTGCCCTGCCTTTCTTTGTCTAAAAAGATATGATTTGTTACTTTAAAACAAAGTAGCCTGCCCACAAGCTAAAGGAAACCCCTATCCTACAAACCTAGTATGAACTGTATCACACTTAAGTCTGAGAGTTTCAGGACACTGACTTGAAAAGTCAAAAGATTCTTAAATCGAAATTCCCACAGAGAAATTTCCATAGGTAAAACAAGTTTACCTCAAATAATTCTAAGTCAGGTTAGATTTTTGATAAACGTTTCGTGGGATGTTCCATCCTTGTACAATACGTGAACAAAAATCAGCGGAATGTTAGTACAACTAAAATTCGTAAAACTTAGTGGTATGACCAAACTAATGCGCCAAAAAATAGTATCTGAGAGAAGAAAATGAACTGCTCTTCAAATGCAATATTGAAACTAACTGATGCCGCCAAAACAGTTACCATACTGAACGCAGAACAAGAGCGTTCTTCAGTAGTTTCGACACTACTTCCACAGAGTTTTCAATTGTCACATCGCGCCCAGGGTAATCTATGTCGTGGATCGGCCTGGAGATCTTCCTACATCTTCGATCAAAGGATAGAGCAAGCTTAGCCTCATTTACAGAAAATTTTTATTAAAAAAAATACAATTAAATTCAGGCAACGATTTTCTGAGTTCTTATTTGTTCACTACGGCGATTCTGATGACCTAATTTCACGCCTTTAGAAGCACCATGCGATAAAATTACTAAGGAGATCTACAAAGCATGTAAATTACCTAACGACATCACTGGTTCCCTTTCAACTCTGCGCATTCTGAATAACCACTAAACAAGTAATGGAACCCTTTTGTGTCATAGGCGTCTTTCCACTTAATGTATTCTTGACTCTTGACTAGAGCCTTCCTTTGTTGAGCAAATCCCTTAGTAAATTCTGTACCTTTTCAGGCTCCAAAGTGTTACCGCGTCCTAAAGCACTTAAAATTCCCCACAATTTGACGTTAATCTGGGTGTGCAAGTTAATTCGTAAAATTAAACAATTTTTCGCGCGGAAAACACTCAAAAAACAATTTTAGTCCTAAACCGAAAAACACTAAATTTTCCACTACACGCCTTTGCGTTAACTTTATGGCATGTTTCTGGCAATTTTTCAAAATAATATTCTTAAACCTAACTGTTTTGTGAAAAATATCTCCTATTTGTCACTACCGAATAATACCTTACACTGCCAGAGGTCTGCGCTTTATTTTCTTAATTTCTGAGAAATTTGCGATGTGAACAAAAGCTACTTTATTTCGGCGCCGCTTTCCCGAATTGGTGCAGAAGAGCTTATGATACCACTTAGCAAAGATTTAAAGGATTAAATATGATTTTCGTGCAGTTGCCGCCTCGATGAAAAAAAATTAATAAAGCTCTGAGTAAGAAATCGCGCTGAGATTGAATTAAGCATGTTTGTAGCTATGTGAGGAGAAGATGCTGCTGAACTCTTCAAGAGATCCTTACTTGAAACAGTTGGAACTGTTAAAAAATATTATATTTTTGACCTGACTTTGATTTAGTAAAAAGAATCATAAGAAAGTAGTTTGGCACTATTTGTCGTTTTCTAAATCGATCGAATTAAAACCGCCTCTCAAATAATTAGACAAAGGAATTTTCTTTATGCAAATTCATACTATTGTTTTAAAACTATTATCATTTTTGATTTATTTTTACACTCACATCGACAAAACAGAAATCTTAGTAAAAAATTTCCTCCATGATTCATAACCCTTACCACTACAGCATGATTGTTGGTTACTGTTTGCCTTGTTCCGCTCGATTTCCGTGTTATACCTTTTTCCGCCGAAAGAAAACTAGCGACTGAGAGGGAAATCACTTCGTAAACAAAACTGTCTTCCAATTATTGTTTCAGGAAATTGAAATTAGAAAGTCACACGGTACTCTGAGGAGGGAATGAAATTTACAAATAGTGTAATTTGGATGATTGAAAAAAACATTGCTTGCTTTACTGAGGGGTTTACGGTTCTGCCTTTTTCTTTTTTCTATTAGCAAAATTGATATTAAATGTGGACTGAAACTTTGGCCTTTATAACGATAAAAATATACTTTTTGCTTGCCAGTAAATTCTTCACGGTACTTTTGTTGGATTTCCGCCTCAACTTAGATTCCCATTCCCGGCGGTCCTTGCATGCCAAGTGCCTCTGTAACTCGATGAGAAAGCATTTAAATTGAATGCAAGATTTCCTCCTTTCGGAAAAGAGTCGGGACACAAATTATTGCAACTTGGAAACACAATCTTCTTTATTGATATTGCTCAGACGAGAACATTTGAACTTCTTGTTCACAGATTATAAGAGAAAACCACTTTGTGAATTGGAAACTTAAGTTTTGTTTTTCTGTTTTGAATGCCTGACCACTTTCTGCAGAAGAAATAGAAAAGAATAGTGCTTTTTAAATCTTATAATTTGAGCTTCACAATCAAATATTAAAATGGTTCAATTTGAGATCCGAATTTGCACCATCAAATTGAAAGCACTTGAAATCTAACACGAGTCTGATATAAGCGACGCCTGAAAACAGGTGACATCTATCACAACATTTTAACATAGAGATTCCAAGAGCAAAAAGCGTCAGCCTCTATGCCACTGACGCTTCAAACAAAAATTCCTTTACGTGCTTATTTCGTTTGTGAGGAATATCCATTTTGAGTTCAAAAATTGCTTGCACGAAGGAAAAAACAGTGTGAAACATGTACAAAGGGATCCAGAGTTAGGTGACGAGCACTCAAGAATTGCTTTTCATTAACTTGTTTAGATAAAGGTGTCTTCCAAGCTTATTCAATTAGAAAATATACAAGAGATTAGTTTGAGGGGAAAGGATTTATATCTCTACGCGGATATCACTAGTAGGTTAATAAAATTGACAAAGCTCTGCTTAATGATATGACATCATACTGGTTACGGAAATAGAGGTTTTAGTTTTATCTTAGAAAAAAAAAGTATGGAATTTATGCAGCGGGGTGATAATTTTGTTTTTCACGATGCACCGCAAATTTACCTAATTTTGTGGCCGATTTTAGGCTGACGCTATAGCGCACGCGCAGACGCCCACTAATATCGTCATGAAAAGTAATCATTTGTTGAAAGTGCTAATGCAATCGGATTAAGCGATAACTACCAATAAAAACACTACAGCTGATCTCAAATACAGTGTGAAGATTGGTCATTAGCGGGAATGAGCGAGAACCTGCCCCCTGACGGGCCAGGACTCAACTAACACACAAGAGCAATCTTAACTAGGCTTTTGCACGGAAATTGACCACAAATAAACTGATATGTTTCCAAACATGTATAAAATGAAAGAATGTGGTTTCTATCTTGTGTTGCTTTCTAATACTTGCATTTTTTTTCCTTTTTCAAGTCAATAGTTTTAGAAGCGTGTTTGTTGTAAGTAGGAAGCTTTAACTTCAAACAGAGCTCACAGTTAGAAGTTGTTCCCATCTTATCTTTTCCTGTATAATCTTTGAAATGGTAGAAATTAAATAAGCATGTTCTCTTATCGGGAATTTCAAAAAGTCAAAATGAAATCTCGAGGAATTGAATTCTTCTAAAATAATTTATTTTATTTCGGTCGCCCTTATTACAAGAAAGGAACAAAACATCACAATGTTTTGATGCAATATTATTCCCACTTGGCAGATGACCTCTCGTGAAGGCTGAGACATAAACATTCATCTGTAAAGTCTGGCATTTTTGAACAAGTAGATAAGTCTCGTAGATATGGAAATACCAATGTGTTTTTCACATCTTGTGTGATCATTCTGATCGATATCAATCGAGTATCTAGCCCTATCCTAGTTAGTTATCTACCATTATTAGTTCTGTCAAATCATTTATCTAAGAAATTTCTCGCCCACATGAGCCATCTCCCGCAATGTTGAACCCGTTTGTCGCATTGCCACCTGCTGGCGATCGCTGTGCCGGCCAATTCTGCTCAATTTCAGTTAATTGCCTGATATAGTTGCTAATTTTAATAATCAAGCGGCTATTGTTTCATTTATTTGACCCACACTTAATTGATACAAGCACCACAACGCACGCCGGAACTGCTTTGCATTCACACAAAAGGTGATGTGGGCAACTCAATGAATATATTGCGGTCTGTTGAACGATCGCGACCCAGAAGATCCATAAACATACAGAAGTTAAGGTGGTATTGTAAGC